TGAAATCAGCCTCACAGTTTGTCTCTGTGCTTTCGCTTATTTCTATTCTCTTCTCCGTTTCTAATACAGCTTGACCATCACACACCATGCTATGATCACACAAAATAGAGTTCGCCACCGCATTTTCCTCAAGATGATTGCATGGTGATTGAACACATTCTGGTGCTTCAGAAGGCCCCAAAGGTATGGAAACATATTTAGTATTACCTAACCGATTTTCTGAAGAAGATAGATTGTCTACATCACCCTTTATTGAAGCAAAATCTTCAAAGAAAGTTGGGTCTGCAGTGACGGAATATAAAACCTCAGGCTGCTTTGCTACATTTTTAGTAGAATGATACACAATTAAAGCATCATCTTCACCAGAAAGGCAAGGACTAATCTCGTCTTCATTTCCAGGGTGCACGCATTCATTTAGAGGTTGTCCATGTACATCCAATGTATCAAAATCTCCACTAAAATCATTGGTAGTACACATATCTTCTTCCCCCGGATTGCTGACTTTCAACTGTGAGTAGGTATCAAACAGTGTCAACTCATCGGAAGGAGGACCCTGCATTGGAGAATCCACAGAATCTTTCAGCGGTAAAGCACAGTATTCTTCTACTGAGCGGCAAGACTTCCTTTTCTCATCTCTATTATCGTCAGACATATTACTACCATCCTGCACATTATTTTTGCAGCCTGAGAGCGGTAGCTCATTGTTACTCTGGAATTCTTGACTTGCAGTAGAATTCTTCTCAGATGTACAATAAGTTACATCATCCAGAAGTACTTTTCCAGTATCACCTTGAATGGCAATTTGGTGCTGCAGATTTTCATTTATCTGAGAACTCAGTGAACAACACAACGCATTGGATTCTAATTTCTGAGTGCTATTCAAGTCCACTTTCACCTTTTCTTGTGAAGATTTGAGACATATAGATTGAGCAGAGAATCTTGCAGCTGAACCTGAACTGCCAAAAATTCCAGTTGCTGCCTTGGATTTGACACCAGGAAGCTTTTCAGCAACTTGAGGTTTCTTGAAGGTAGGGATCAAAGAAATATGAGAGGCTGAAGAAACATCAGATCTGGGAAGCTGACTATGTTTGTCTCCTGCACTGTGCGACGGTTGAGAGTCAGACTGCAAAAAATCAGGCATATGAAGTATGAGAGATTTACAATCACAAAACCATAGTTCTGACCAAAGGATTCAGTATATTTCAATAATATACCTGACTGAAATAGCCAATTGAAGGTTTTGGCACTCTTAAGCCTGATGGCTTTCCCAGTCGTGAAACTGCGGACTGCGTGTTTCCAAGTCTATTGCAAGAACTTTGAGTTAACGAGGTTCCCAGAGTAATTACATTGGACTCTGGAATATCCGATGCAGGACCAAACATAGCCACATCTGACGCAGTCATAGGGCCAACGTTGGACTTTGCAACAACAGAATGCTGTGAGTTGGATACTGAAGGAATTTCTGATGTTTTGCTGATCTAGAATTCAAGAAAATGCAATACGTTACTCTCAATCGGAAGACTATGGGAAAGAAAGCATTTAATGTAAATTTCTAGTGCATAAACTATTTGCTATATTGGTTTGCAGAGGGCAGCCTAGCTTTACCACATTTCTTCTAGCTTGCTTAAGAGAGGGCTTAGGAATTGAAGATTTACTCGCCAGACTGGATTTTGTTTTACTCTTGGTGCTTGAAGTGTTTTTAGAGAAGCCTTCAGATCCTAAGCTCCTCTGAGAATTCTCTGTCATATCAGACGAAAAAACCAAGGTAATGCGATCATGTAGCAATATATTTACAAGTTGTCGCAAAAGCATTTGCTGAAAAGTAATAGAACAAAAAAGGTTATGTAATTAATAGTTTCCATTTGCTAACAGAATGTGGACATACTTAGTTGAGTAGGTTGACTTTTTTTCGCTTTGCTTGGACTTGGAGTAGTCCTTTTCATGTTGTTTGCAACTGTAAGTGGCTCAGGTTTGGTAGTAGGAACTTTAGATATGCTCAGCTCCCTGCTACGTGATGCTGTTGTATGCACATTTGCAGGTCTTTTCAGGGTGCAGGGAAGTTAAGGTTAACAAGCAAAAAGAAAAAAAACAAGACATGCAAAGGGTATCAAAAATTGCCTTAACACTCAGAACTCTTTAAGTAAGAAAAGGATATGAAGATGAAGGAGGAGGCCGGGGACAGCCACTGCGCTTGGAACCGCTCCTCAAATCCTGAGCTGAGATAACTTTTTTCTGGGCCTATAATGTAGACATTCAACGTTTAGATAGAATGCGTCTTAAAATATTATTTTTGGCTAGGAAAGGAACATTGTAAGAAATGACTGGTCACCCTCATTAGCTCCATAAAAATTATGCTCATTGCTTGTCCAGTAAACTCACCGAGGAAGATTGGGATTTAGATGGTGATGAGTACTTGGGCATTATGCCACTCAGAAGCTTCTTCTCTCTGTTTTTACTATTCACAGGCAAGTCGTTAAATAAGTTTTCTTCAAGTGCTTGTAGTCCTGGTGAAACACTAGTACATTTAGAAGCTGACATTGACTCCCTGAACTCTTCCTGAATGGCAGGTAACCGATCTCCACCAAATTGGCAAGCAGTTCCAGTTATTTTAGATAGCTCAGATGAATCCAAAACACCTGGTTCAAGACCATATCACACATCTTAGATTCTTAGTACCATAGACTAAACCTTTGTGCTTTTACGACAAACACGAGAATGGTAAACAAATCCATAGAAAAAAAAGTCACCTTCTTCCGTTGAAAAAGCTCGATCCCATGCTAAACTTTTGCGCAAATTAAATCCTGCATTCTTTTTCTTCTTCTTCATCTGTTGTCGCTCCACACTCAATTTGGGCAATTCAACTTTAGAATTCTCCTTTCCAACACTATCTGTATCAACAGAAGCGCATGGCTGCTCCATGTTGTTGCTGGTACCAGTTACTCTTCCTGCAAAAAGAATTCACCTTCATATATCTGCAGAATACAAAAATCTAATTTGCCATTTTATCAAACAAAGATTCAAACAATGCTAAAAGGTAGACAAATTTAGATTTACATTTCCTAGGACGATATAATCTCAAAATTCCAGTGAACGATAAACTAATTAAATAAATTTTCGATACGAAGCTCGGATCCAGAAATTGAATCGCTTACCAATTGGTGAAAAAGGGGGCCGAGTAGGAACGATACGACTAGATCTAGGGATTTGGAGAGGCGAGCAATTCAAATAACTCTTTTCTCGTCCCGAATGAACTTTCTTCGGCGTATTTTTCAGAAGCCAATTATCTTCGTCGTCTTCTCCAGAGATATCTAAGAGATCCTTGTCCATTTCTGGCTTCTCTTTCGAGCAGCGTACGAGATCTGACAATTGGGAAATCCGAAATCGTTTAGCTAGGGTCTTTCAAACTTACACTGAGAAAAGCTCGTCGGAACTTGTAGGCGAAATTCCTAGTCGGTAATCGGAAATCGTTCGGCCGATGTAAGTAAGATACGACTGTTGAAAGAATATCCCGGCCTCGTAAGCGGGAAGAGGTTGAAAAACTTGAAATTGAAAGAAAGAAGATCGGACCAACGTTCTCTATAATCTCAGGTTATTATTGTCATTTAAAGCAAAAAAAATGGATTGGGCCGGACTTTAAGCCCATTTCTTTTATTTTGACTTTTCATTTTAGGAAATTATTTAAGGGAAAAATATCGTTAAAATCCCCAACTTATTCAAAACGTTGATTTAAATCCTCAACTCATGACGAAACGAAATAAATATCAAACTTATGTTGACTTTCCAAATAAATATTAAACTTATGTTGACTTTCCAAATAAACACCAAACTTTCATTGAATTTCCAAATAAATATCAAACTTCCGTTGACCTGACCATATTAGGTACGACGTTAAGTGGGTTAATAAATCCTCAACTCATGACAAAACGAAATAAATATCAAACTTATGTTGACTTTCCAAATAAATATCAAACTTATGTTGACTTTCCAAATAAATATCAAACTTCCGTTGACCTGACCATATTATGTACGACGTTAAGTGAGTTAATAGATCTCGTTAACGGAGGTAATTTTCTGTTAACATATATGTTAATTGATAACGACATTGTTTCATATAACAACGAAACGACGTCGTTTTGTCGTAACGATTGAATTAAATCCCTAAAGTCAATCTTCGATCCCCAAATCGAGTAAAATCTCTAACCCTAAATAGAGTATGATTTGAAACTCGGGATTTTATTGAACAGTTACGACAAAACAACGTCGTTTTATGTTTAGAAGGAATACTTGTTAGTGTTTTGATCAACAAACGAACTCTGTTTTAACAGAGTATGAAGAACAAAACCAAAATGAAAAATAGAGTATGAAGAAACTTGATCTTTATTGATAAGAGAAAATGTATTACACACAATGATGTTATTGAGTTTGACTCGATCTACTTATACAACACGAAACAACATGTACGTACATGTGTTAATCGAAAAGACACAACTTTACGAACAGATACAACTATACGTACGTACATTCGTGACTCTTACGTAAATAACTAACTTATATGAATACGACTTCAGGTTATATGACTTAGATGAGATTTGATTATAGTTCAACAATACTGTCATTTTTAATTAGCGGGTCTGTTAACAGAAAATTAATCTCGTTAACATTGTCTGTTAACTCACTTAACGTCATGCCTAATATGGCCAAGTCAATGAAAGTTTGGTATTTATTTGGAAAGTCAACATAAGTTTAATATTTATTTGGAAAGTCAACATAAGTTTGATATTTATTTCGTTTCGTCGTGAGTTGAGGATTTAAATCAACGTTTTGAATAAGTTGAGGATTTTAATGACATTTTTCCCAATTATTTAATGCACAGTTTTCTTTAGGATTTTTTAATCAAATGAATTTTTAAATTTTCGTTCACCCTTTGTTTGGGTTGGTTTGTTTTAGGATAAATGTTTTTTCGGTTTGATTAAAACCAGATAGGTTCGGTTCGGTTCATGGAGCATTGAAGTTAAAAGTAGTTAGCACATTCTTTTTCCATTTGGAGCAATGAGCGTTGAAGACAGGACAGTCTCTGTGTTATGCAACAAAAGGCAAAATCTCTAAAGCAAACCATAAGATCGGAGATCAATAAACGAGCTCTTGCTCTTTTACTTTTCTATTTTCAAGAAATCATTTTCACCTTCAAAAGTGTTAGGGTTTCAAAGAGGTGAAGATGAACAGAGGTGCTTCTCCTTTAGACTCTTGTTTTTTTTTTGGTGTAAATGTTAAGATCTTTAGACTCTTGTTTGTTCTTGATTCTCCAATTACATAATCTCTCCTATGTTCTGATTTATGCTTGCTTTGAAACAGGAAATTCTGGGGGTAATTGTCTTCCAAAGTTCTTCAAAGTGTACTTACCTGATGAATCCGGAGATGATCTGGTAATAAACACTCTTCTCTTCACTCTGCTTTTGGTTTTGTTTTCTGGATTTTTCTTTTGTTTATCTGTAGATATCTAGTTTATTGAAACTTTTAGATCCTTCCTTTTCAGGAATTACCCATCTCTTTCAACAGCTTTTTACCAAAGTCGTTGCCTAAAAATGTAATTGTTAGAAGTATTTATGGAAACATTTGGAAAATGGCGCTTAAGAAGTGTTGTGGTCATGTTGAGAGATTTACTATGGTTAATGGGTGGAAGAAGATTGTAAAGAACGAAGATTTGAAGGGTGGAGAGTTCTTGGAGTTTGAGTTTGATGGCTCTTGGTGTTTCAATTTCTGTATCTACGGCCGTGCAACGTTTAAAAAGCTTAGAAGTTCAGTGCAAATCGGAGATATCGAAGATGAATCTGATGGTGAAGATGATAAACATAGTGATGATGATCATGGTATTGATGATCAAGATTATGGTGACGAAGATAAATCTAGTGAAAGTATCATAGTTCTTGATGATGATGATATTAGTGATGTTCAAGATTATAATGAGGAAGATACATCTAGTGAAGATATTACCGCTCTTGATGATGCTGATAATGATGATATTAAGGATGTTCAAGATTATGGTGAGGAAGATATATCTAGTGAAGATATCATAGTTATTGATGACGATGATCATGCTGATGATGAGAAAGAAAGATGGAGAGGAGTTAAAAAAGAGAGAAAAGAGAAAGGTATGATAGAAACTTGTCTTGTGAAGTTAACTGAGCATCACTGTCTTTTTATTTTCTTGCGTATAAATTTTTTGATAGGTTCTTCTGGAGAGCATGACAGACACTATCTGGATAATCACATGAACCCTTTCTTTACAGTGAACCAGCATCGGCAAATAAAATACAATCTGGTAAGAAAAATGTGAAAATCTCATTCATGTCTTTTTGCATTTCCATTAAAATAATGTACCACTTGTGTTTTATATTGTTTTCTTTGTAATGCAGCTGCGCATACCAACTAAGGTCATAACTAAGTCTGGCTTACACTTCCCTGAGTTCATCAATCTGATTGATCCACTCGAGAAAATGTTCGGTAAGTTGAAGAGGAAAGTTGAGGGTCAAACAATCAAGGGATTCCGTAGTATAATCAGAAGGAATAATGTGAAGTTGACTGATAAAGTGATTTGTGAGTTAGTAAAGGAGATGGATGGTCTGGTTCGCGAAATCAAGGTCCATGTTATAAGAGGATGATCTCTTGATAAAGCTTTATGCATTAACAGTAAGACATTATCTATGGTATATTGAGTTCTTATATGAATAGAGTACTTGAATTTATGAATCTTATCTACTTCTTGATTTTGTTTGTGTCTGCAACATGAAGTGCAAAAATCAAATACATAAGTACATTGTTCAGACAAGATCGTCCTTTGTACTAGTGCAAGGTTAAATTAAATCTCAAAAACATTATAGTAAAATGAAGGGTTTGTCTTTTGTTGTTGTTGGCTCCACTTTACAGATCAAAAGAAGAAAGAGAACAAAACAATTGCAATATCCGTAGATTTTGGGAGAAATCATTATAATATTAATTGGCCTTTCATTCTTGGGTCCAAGTTATTAGACCATGGTTAACGTTTCAGAGCAGTTTGGAACCTGCATGTTCATGTAAGAAAAACGTTGTTACTTCTAGTTTTATAGGACCCTAAGAAATCTATTAACAAAAGAGCAGAATACACAAGGAAAACATTGGTACAAAACTTGGAAACTCTGCCTTAGTAATCCAACACTTAAATTGACTACAGTACCCTTCTCGACTCTTCACTGTGGTTCTTTTGTTTAGGACGATAATGTCATTTGTACAATATAGATTGAACCGAACTTTAGGCCCATTTCTTGTTTTTTTGGGCCTTGGCGATCCTTTGGTTCTCTTAACGAATGGTTTTTTGAATACGAAGACTACTATTAATGGTATGTTTTCCATTTGAAGCAATAAGCATCAAAACAGAGAGAACCCTCTGTTTTTGAAAGTTTTTGCTACAAAAGGCCAAAACCTTTAGATCAAATCACATCTGGAAAAACTAGGATCTGGAGAAACTGTTTTCACCTTTTTCTTTCCGATCAAAATTAGGGTTTCAGAGAGTTTCTAAGAGCACAAGAAGTTGACGACAATGAACCACGGTTTCTCACTTCTCTCTTCCTGATTCTTCCCTTGTAATGTGTTCTAGACATTGATGTTCTTCCTCTTGTTATTTTGGAACAGGAAATTATTCGGATGGTTCTACTTCAAAGTTCTTTAAACCGTACCTTCCTAGTGAATCCGGAGACGATCTGGTAATAAAACACATTTCTCTTCACTCTGTTTTTGATTTTGGTTTCTTGTTGCTTGAAACTTGTAGAAACTTTGCAGATGCTACCCATTTATTTCAACAGCTGTTTACCAAAGCCTTTGCCTGAAACTGTAAATGTTAGAAGCATTTATGGAAAGGTTTGGAAATTGGTGTTGAGGAAATGTGGTGGTGAGGTTGAGAGATTTGTTATGGTTAATGGTTGGAAGAAGATTGTAAGGGACGAAGATCTGAAAGGTGGAGATCTCTTGGCATTTGAGTTTGATGGGTCTCGTTGTTTCAATTTATGTATCTACGAGCGTGAGACTATGTGTAAGAAGCTTAAGAGAAGTTCAGAGCAAAGCGAGGAGATCATCGAAGTGGGATCTGATGGTGAAGAAGAAACTCTAGCTAGTGATGATTCTGACGATTCTGATAATGATTATGCTGTTGAGGATGATGATGTTGCTGAAGATGATGATGGTCTTGAGGATGAAGATGAAGTTGAGGCTGAGGATGATGATGATGTTAAGGCTGAAGATGACGATGATAATGACGAAAGACAGTATCTGGATCATCACAACAACCCGTACTTTACTATGACACTCAATCCGAAGAAGAAAAGCCAATTGGTAAGAAAAAATAGCTGAATGTTAAACTTCTTTCCACACTCTCCATATAACAACTTTGGTTATGGATTCTTATGTGAATGAATAAGTAAGGAATATATCAATCTGTTTTGTGATGTTTCTTTCTTGATGCAGCACATACCGGCTTATGTCATAAAGGACTATGACTTAAACTTCCCGGCACGTATAACAGTCATGGACCAATTGGGAGCATTGGAGAAAGCAATCAAGATTCAAAAGAATGGCTCCATCTTTGTCAAGGGATTTGGTAGTGTCATCAGAAGGAACAAAATGAAGATGACTGATAAAATGATATGCGAGCTTAAGAGGACTGGAAGTAATCTGGTTCACACCATCAAAGTCAACATTATCAGCGGATGATCTCTTCACTAAGCTTTTATGAGTCGTAGCTGTGAGTGGGTTTTTATTGTGTTAGCAATGCTAAAATGTCTATCTTAGGATTTGGGTTTATAACTAAGAATTTGGTCGTGAGAGATGTTTTAAAGTTGAATTAAGACTTTCCTATATAGAGTTCCTGAATCTCCTTAAATCTCTCTGTTTTCTCTTGCAACAAAACTCATGGTGATGTTGTCTATACAAAGTTTGTTGCTTTGTTGCCTGCAGTAAGTAGGGAAAAGTCCTCCAACGGATTCATACAAATAGTACTTACATTGTTCGAACAAAGGTCGTCCTTTGTGTTGGAGTAATCTCAAAAGTCATTATAGTAAAATCACAAATGGGTTTGGGTTTGTATTTTGTTGTTGGCACCAGTGTTAGTGTCTCCTAGAGAGACTTACTCTAGCCAAGGAAGCTACGGTGGAGCTTGTGGGTGTTTCATGACATGTGTAATCAGTTGGGTGGATGAGACAGAGACTGGGAAGAGATTTAGATTGAAGAAGCACTGAGAAAGATCAAGAGTAGCTGACGATGAAGGCGAATCCTGATAATGTTGCATATTGCAGAGCTGAGATATCAAAATACAGAAACCAAGAATCTTTTTCGACAGAGGTATCTAATAGAACCTTCTTCATTGAGAGACCTCGATTTGGAGAGGGGCAAATCGAATCGCTAGAGATTTTTCTACTTACAATTGAGAATGGTTCGCCGGAAATACGACGGAGAATGTTGAAAGACGTTCGAAATTTTCCGGCGACATAAGCGGGGAGAAGTTGAAATCGAAGACGACGACGATCTTGGACAGTCGAAACAAGTGAAGTGACTACTATACCCCATCACGACTCGTCTCTCTGGCTCTACTCTTTAGGATAATATTGTCATTAACTTATCTAGAATGGACCAAAATCTAGGCCCATGTTTCAGTGGGCCTTGGCGATGCTTTGTTATTAAACGAATATCTTCTTTGAAAACGGTGCCGTTTTGGAAGTGGTTTTCCATTTGAAGCAACAAGTATAGAAACAGAGAAAAACCTCTGTTTTCAAGTTTTTGCTACAAAGGTCGAAAACAGAGAAAACTGCGTTTGGAAAAATTTCCCCACATTTCTGAGAAAACTCCGTTTGGAAAAATTTCTGTTCGATCAGGACATTAGGGTTTCAAAAATCTCAGCTCTACATTGAAGAAAGAGTAGTGTGTACTATTCCTTAAAGTCTTCTTTTTTCCATTTGAAGCAATAAGCGTTCAAGTCTCAGCTTTTTGCTACAAAAGGAATATTCACTTAATCAAACCATAAGATCGAAGATTTAGGGTTTCAGAGCGAGACAAAGAGCACAAAGAAGTGAAAGATGAACAAAGGTTTCTTCTTTAGACTCTTTTTTGTTCTCGATTCTACTACAGTTACACGATGTATCCTCTGTTCTGATCGTTACTTGCTTTGGAACAGGAAATTTTGGGGATTATTGTCTTCCAAAATTCTTCAAAGTGTATTTACCTGATGAATCCGGAGATGATCTGGTATAAACACTCTTCTCATCACTCTGTTTTGGGTTTTTGTTTTCTGGTTGCTTGAAACTTGTAGAAACTTTTCAGGTACTACCCATTTCTTTCAACAGCTGTTTACCAAAGCCTTTGCCTGAAACTGTAACTGTTAGAAGCATTTATGGAAAGGTTTGGAAATTGGTGTTGAGGAAATGTGGTAGTGAAGTTGAGAGCTTTGTTATGGTTAATGGTTGGAAGAGCTTTGTGAAGGACGAAGATTTGAAGGGAGGAGATTTCTTGGAGTTTGAGTTTGATGGCTCTCGGCTCTTCAATTTCTGTATCTACGAGCATGGGACATTGTGTAAAAGGATAAGAAGAAGCTCAGAGCAAAGCGAGGAGATCAAAATGGAATCTGATAGTGATGAAAAAAATCAGGCTAGTGGTGACGTTCTATCTCTTGATGAGGATGATGATGATTCTGATTATAACTGTGCTGAAGACAATGATAGTGATGAAGATGATGTCGAGAAAGATGATAATGATGGTGATGACTATGTTGTTGATAATGATGTTGATGATGTTCCTGTTGAAGATGATGATGATGTTGAGGCTTTTGATTCTCATGCTGAGGCTGATGATGATGATGACGATGAAAGACAGTATCTGGATGATCGCGAGAACCCGTCTTTTACTCTGACCCTTAATCCGAAGAAGAAAAGCCAACTGGTAAGAAAAAAATTGAATGTGAAAGAGCTTTCCATTGGGTTGTGAGTTTTCATGCTTTGCTTTATGATGTTTCTTTCACAATGCAGCTCATCCCAGCTCGGGTTATCAAAGACTATGACTTGCACTTCCCTGAGAGTATCACTCTCGTCGATCCACTTGTCAACAAATTTGGGACATTGGAGAAAAAGATCAAGATTCAGACGAATGGCAGTGTGTTTGTCAAGGGATTTGGCAGTATCATCAGAAGGAATCAAGTGAAGACAACGGATAAGATGATGTGTGAGATCAAGAAGACTGGTGATAATAACCTGGTTCAAACAATCAAGATTCACATTATCAGTGGATGATCATTCATATATATCTATCTTCAGTGACTATTGTGTTGTATTGAGTTCATGTACGAGTTTTTAATTTCTGAAACTTATTAGATGTATACAAATTTATTTGCAACAAGTAGTGAAAAAGTCTCTCAATAGCTTCATACATATAGAATGCATTGTACTTTACATTGTTCAGATTAATATCAGAGACATAATGGTAAAATGACAAATGGGTTTGGGTTTCTGTTTTGGTATTACCCTCAGTTTATGTTACAAATCAAAAGCAGAAAGATAACCACACAATGACAATAAGTACAATAGATTTGGGGAGAAATCGTCGTATTGGCTGGCCTTCCACGGTCGGGTCCAAGTTATTCCAACCTCAGGGTTGTGTAGAACCTGCACGTTTACATACGAAGTATGTTATTACTTGTAGTTTTGTAGGATCTTAGGGAAACTTTTGCCTCAAATATCCCTCAAATATGTGTTTAAGATTGACAGAGAAGCAGAAAACAGGAGGTAGAGAATGCTACAAAACTTGGAAACTCTGCCTTAAGTCTTCCATACGTTAAGACTTTCTCATACTTTTCATGTTTCCATCAAGATTCATATGAATACAAACATCTCATACCCTAGGGGTCTTCCATCAAAACTGGGTTCTTTCTTTTGGATTGTCAGCGTAATGTATTGAACAGGAGGACGAAACTGCAGCTTGTAATGCTGAGCCAAAATAATGAGTTGAATGTTGTTGTTTCCAAGAAAGTCTTACCTTGAGCTAGGCGGGAGAAGGAGGAAGCTATGGTGGTGGTTGTGGGCGATTCATGAGATTGTGGTGGTGCTGAGATGTGTAATCAGATGGGTGGATAACATAGAGACCGGGCTGATTCATATTTAAGAAGGGCTGAGAGGGATGAGGAGTAGCTATGGATGAAGGTGGGCGTGTAGCTGAGAGTGAGAATCCTGATGATGCTGCATTTGAGAACAGAGGCGGTGCTGTAGCTGCTACGGCGGTCCCACCACTGGACTGATCATGCCCTTGCCATGTCCTGGCTGGGAAGCTTTGATGAGAACGTAACATATGACCTTTCTCTGGTGTTCTTTCCTGGAGACAAGAATTGAACTTTTAGGGCAGAAGATTATTCATTCAAATCTTCAAGAATATCACAACATAGAACTCATAGAAGTATAACTAACAAGCAACAACATAGAACTCTTCTCAAAGGAAATCAAAGAGTTGAGCTCAAGTACTTAACTGATCAAATATCACAACAGTAACCACTTGATGAACATCTAACTGAATTTCTTATCGCACAAATTCCTCATTAAAGTTCGATAAATTTAAAATTGTCATTCTATTTCATATGGTGTATTAGTTCTGGACAGAAGGTACAAAAGATTGTGCAAGTTATAAATGTGTGGCAGTGACAAATAGTTGGATATAACGAGATGTGTGCTAGGTATTTTACTATTTACCATGGGTGAAAAGAACGCAGAAGGAAGGGAATGCCGGTTATTAAGATGGTCTGAACCCCTCTTCAAGAAATTGAAAGGCGTATCACATGCCGCTGCAGCCATGTGGTTCTCCATCTGTGAATAGATCAAATGGAAGAGCAAGAAATTCATCAATAAATGAAAAACCATGAGGGCTCGAGCTAGCTAATGAGACAGTATCTTTCAGTTCCAGATTGCTATGACATATCGACAGAGAAACATTTGACTAACAGTTGCAGCAAAACGCATATGAAAGTAAAGTAAATCATATTTGGTGCACTAAGGATAAAATTGCACCATGATGTTCCTTCCACATACAGTAATATTAGGGACATGGTGAAGCCGAAGAGCCCTTTCTTTTTGCTTTGGACCATCTCCCAGTGAAAGAGAGATTCCCAAGTTGAGGTCGAGCTTAACATTAGCTAAATATTAAGATCAGAAAAACAAGTTAGTAGCAGCTTTTCACATATTGAGCAGAGATATCAATGATACAGCAAAAGCTGCATAGCATTGACCAGTTTAACAAGCAAGGAACCCGAGCATCAATTACATTACCTGCCTCGGGAATCATCCGGGATGCATGAGGCTCAATTAAGGAAGCCGCTTCCCTTCCATTCCATTGTATGGCTGCCTTGTCAGAAGCCCTAATTACATAAGAATCTGAGCAATTAGTCTTGAAATTGTCCTAATAGATCAATAATTCAGGATAAAAAACTTCATCATACTGTGATTTACAATCACCAAGAGCATACAGCTTTTACTCAGATGACAATCATCCCAAGATAGATATAAATGTCTCATAGCCATCAGAATCTCTAGATATAACCCATAATCAAAAACGGGTCTTCCTGCTAATGGTTCTAACAGAAACCTCGTTCACATTAACGAAAAATAACCAAACCCTTCATCTGAGGCACTTCACTCTTTTTAGCAATGACTGACAGCCACATTCAGACGAAAACACGAAGAAATTGCATGTGTAAAAGCCCATATTTAGATCCCAGGAAAAGTTAATTACATGTTTCCATGAAACTGCTCCATTTGAGCTCCCCACCCGCCAATCTTTTGCAAAGAAACTCCTTGATATCTTGAGTTATTCCTTGAGAAACCAGAGCTCTGTCGCCGAAGTACTTGCACAACTTCCTCTTTGGAAAGATTCGCCATCTGTAAAGTTTGAAAACCAGATAAGAACAAATCAAAGCGAACATGTCTTCATTTGTACATCTATAATCAAAACCTGCTTGAGATCCTCTTCATAATCGCTGATAATGAAATTGATGTCAGCCTCCAGACCCCGGAACTTGACAGCAGCTCGATCATACGCCCTACATGAACCGATGATGAACTTATGAAAAACAGGTGACGGATCAATTGAAGATCATACAAATACAAAACAACATAATTTCCAAAGGCATTACCTAGCTGCAGCATGGGCAGTATCAAATCCACCTATTGGATTCAAAAAGTTAAAACTTTATTAGAGAGTTAAGAGCACAGCAGAAAATATTTCATAGTGGTGAAACCAATAGAATCCATACCTAAATAAACTTGTTTACCGCAATCCCTGCAAGCATGAAAATTGACAAAAAGGAAAAAGATTAATACAAAATCTAAAGGCCAGAGCTTGGACCTGAAAGATAAACCAAGTTCTTTCCTTTTCGACCAAAGATCTAACAACTAATCTAAGATAATCAATCAGAAGTAGATTTACCAGATATGCGATTCCCATCTCCCTGTCCTCCGATAGAAAGTGACGCCTCTATACTGCGAACTCTTAGACCTAGGACCTCTCCTGCTTTTCTTCACCGGCTGTGATGGTGGCTGCATCACCCGTGCAGCATCGGCACCGCTTCCACTTCCAAGAAAGTCTCCGCCTTGTTTCCCTCTCTGGAAGGAAATATCAACGGTGCTCCTGGAACTTTGTGCGCTCGAATCCATAAAATTCATGCCTTTAGCAACAGGAAAAAACTCCTTAGTCATCATCACAGCACTTCTTTCATCATCATCTTCTTCTTCTTCTTCTTCCTCTCCTCCTTTTAGTATCTCAAATTGAAACTTGACGGTTCGTGTAGAACACAACTCATCTTCACCATCTATGCAGCTAGAAGCTTCAGCATTAACAACAGAAGAGTTCGACGTCACTGATTCATCCATCTGATTCAAAGAAACCCCTTCAACAGTAACCGAATCTCGTTCGTTCTGAGTAGACTCGGCCGAGTCGACGTCGAGATTGAGATCCAGCATCAATCTCAACAAGTCAACAAAAAAGTAAACAAACTCTGAGATTTTCACAACAACAACAACTATTTCTTCAAGCTCTTACTTACACATTGATCAAACTTATACACTAATCCGACCAATAAATTTCAACGATCGCCGTCGATTTGAAATAAACAGAGCTCAAAAATCACATTTCATCGGAGAAAATCTGTAAGTGTATGGAAAAATAAATCAGAGAGATTTAGATTCTGAAATACGGCGAGGATTCGCGACGGAGAAGGAATAATAATTACAGAGAAAGAAGGAAAAGCTCGATCACTAAGGAGAGAAACGAGATTGAGGAGACATGGATGACGATGAAAATTTGAAGAGACAAAATAGCTTTCGCCGGACGAAAGAGATAATCGTCGGCGAACGGGGAAGGAATGATGATGGGACGTAAGCCTGTGGGTTAGTGGCAACAAAGGAACATTATGACATTTATTTATTCCTTCCATCTTTCTCGGCAATTTGATACCGGTTCTGTCAGTTCCCGGTTAAAGTTAAAACGTGCTACTTGTTTTGTTTTATTAGGCTTGGTTTAGTTTATAATTAGTGTAATACTATCATCAAATTTACTGTTTAAAGTTTGGCATTGCACTAAAACTATAGTTGTGTCATGTGTGTGTAAGCTTTTTTGTGAATATTTTATAGAATGAATCAAACCAAATTTGGTTTTATCTCTTATGAATCTGCAAACAAATAAGTAACCAACAAGATTGGTAAAGAAAAATGGCGGAAAAAAAAGAAAAAAAAAAAAAAGAAAGAAAAACGAATCTACAGTACCTATTCACAAATCACAACTTTGAAGACACATAAAAACCAAAAAACACTTTGAAGTCACATATTCATAAGCTTTGAAGACAAAGCATTTGTTTACATTTATTGGCGGGTCATATTTGCAGCTACGTCCTCCTCACATTCAAAAATCTGTAAAGACTTAAAGAGTGAGATAGAATAATATGACTTTTTATTGATTTAAATAGAACTAAGAACTAACGTAACAAATGTGTCACATGTAAGAAAAAGGTGTAAAAGCTATATATTATATCATTTAAAAAGTTGTTATTATTATAAAACAATGTGAAATTATATACGGAAAATAGTTAAAGATGACGGAAAGAAAAAAATTCACTAACATCAGGTTTGATAGCTTTAGTTTTTCTAACTCGATATAGTGATGAAATTTGGTTTTAATTTGTACAGTTTTAACAACCATTACTCACACGTTAATTACTATTGAAATTGGATGATGTATGTTATCCTTGCCTCGTTTGTAGTCAAATTATAGTAGATAAAAATGAAGCATGTGTTTCCTACAATATCTAAACACATTGTAAAAATCTATCAAGTCTAGAGAAAATCATCTCTGCATCAATTGTGTGTCATATTATTTTTAGATTTTCATTGACTAGCTGTAAGTAAAAAAAAAACACATATGATCAAATGTTGTATCTCTCTTTTCAAGTTCTAAAACATTTTATTGTGAATAAACAGAAAATCCAAAAAAAAGTGAGAAAGATAACAAATACATCATCAATTTGTATCAAATCTTATGGTTTGAAAGCAAAGTATCTTGTATTCATTAGTACTATTTTCTAAGACTACATAGCTTGAGAGCAATGTAATACAAAGAGATCAACAAAGAAATTGATAGGTTTTTAAGATAGGTACATTCAATAGTGTAAACACAGATATTTTGGATAGAATTTTTTTTTAAAAAGGAGTAAAATTCAGATGTTCAAAAAAAAAAAGGAGTAAGATGAATTACAATTTACAAACTACAACACTACGTATATGTCACAACTCACCAATGCCGGTCCGGTGAAATCCGGGGCCAAATACGAAAAATAAAATTGGGGTTTTTTTAAAAAGTAGAAACTGCTAAAAAAAATTTTTTTGCTAATTATGGAGCATTTATAATTTTTATTTAACAATTTTTCTTAAATTTTAAAGATTTTTTGCTAATTATGAGGCCTTTTTGCTAATTGTGAAGTCTTTTTGTTAATTTTTGAAGCTTCTTTTACTATTTTGAAGCTTTTTTTGTTAATTTTTGAGGTCTATTTTACTAATTTTGAAACCTATTTCATAATTTTGGGACCTCAAAAAAAAAAAACTCTTAACAAAATAGGCTTCGCAAATTTGAGACCCAATACAAATGATTCACCAAAATGAGTGAAAAGTCGGCCCTGCAGCTCACAAGGAAAAAAGACGTCACTACGTATTATGGTCTTGACACAGGTTACCGGCGGAAAATGAAGATGGCCTAAAAATATCTAATCTTTGTGTCCATACGAATCTCCTTTTCTTTGGAAATGTTTATTGAGTGGGGTAGGTCAAATGAAAATTGCGACTGGCTTTAGCCGGTTGCCAAAGTTAAGAGTGTCAGAAAAATCTCGAAGATCAAGGATTTTGACGAGTAATATAAAGCCGCGTGTACAACAGAGATTGAACCCCAGCCATTCAACTACTCTCTCAGCCATCTCAGGTCAAATATCTGATCTGACGGCCCACGTCCATTCTCACTTTCCTTAAATTTAGGGAATTTAACAGTTTCAGAATTTTCTTTTTTTTTCATTTTCATGCCCATTCCTTATTTCAACCTCTTTTCAAGATTTGCCGTTTTACTACCAAGTACAACCTTAATTTTACTTTTGCCTAAATGTCAAAGTGAAATTAGGTTGTTAGAATCACATACTTGCAAGATTTTTTTTTTTTTTTTTGGGTAGGATTCTTGCAAGATGATCATACATATGAGTAAATTTGCTTTACATTAAAAAAAAAAAAAGAGAGTGTCTTTATCTAGAATTTAAAATGTCACTGTTATTATATTATTATCCTTTTTCCGTTGTCATTTTCGTAATAAATATTATCAATCATTTCTTCGTGAAATCATATATATTAATCATATAAGGCAGACGAGGTTGAATTGAAAGACGTGGCCGCCTTCTGTCCTATCCTTGCAATGATAATACATTTTTTTTTTTTTTTTTGGCAAACTCTTGACACCTAATTTATCACAGTGAGATTAAATTTCCCGTCGCATATAATTGATTTTGCTGAGAAAGCTACAATTGCCTTTTCACCGATTGAAGGCTTGTTCAAAATTTTCTATTGTGATTTTTTTTTCTATTGTGAAATTAGTAACATTTGTTTTCGATATGTCACATTTCTTAATATACAGATTCACTAGAATTGATGTTGCTATGATTCCATTATGGAATAAAATCATAAAATATATATTTTAAAATCAAGGATAATATTTATATTATCATAGTTGTCGACAAAGTCTATGACCATATGATTTTACTCTTTATCTTATTCAGAAATGAATATTGTTTCTGGTACGATGTGACACGGCAAAACCACGATGCATCGCCTATTCTCAATCGAAGACTCAGTATCTGCAGAATTCAACAAAATCGAGTTTCAAGTTGGCCATTCTTTCGTGCGATTATTAAATTATACCGATTTCAACAATATACAAGTATATAGAAATTGTCAAGTATAGGTGATCAAAAAAAAAAAAGGGAATTGTCAAGTACGAGTATCTTTTATCTAATATTTAAACGTAAGACCAACTGAAAACAAAGTAATAATGTGATTTCGTTTACAACTCTCGATTTAGGTTTGTTTTGTTTTCGGAAATAAGAATTCTAGAAGAAATGTGTATTAGCCAATTTTGCTTTTCAAATTGTGTAATTCTTCCTCATAAAAACTCCAACCTTAAAGAAAAAAAAGTAGTTAATGACGAAAAACCTATTTTACAAGAGTTATGTATCTAACTTAAACACCCATACAATTTAAGGTTATAAATGGTTGTTTTAAGTTGAATGGGTTAAAAATCATTCAATCTATTCATCTGCAATAATTGAATGAGTTGAACATTTTTGCTTTAGAATTTATTCAATTTTTCAGGTTTTTAAATTGAATGAAGTGGATCTTTTTTTCGATTCTTTCATCTCAAATGGTGAAAAATTTGTTAAATGTTCATTCAACTCTTTCAACTTAGTATTTTGTGTCACCCATTTATAGTCGTAACTAGATTGAGACATAAATAGTTCATTTAATAGACATAAACTATTGATAAGATCGTATCTAGCTAAAATATATTTGCTTATATCTTTACCCTAATAATATGTCTCTCTTTGTGAATGTTTTTTTGTAATGGCAGGTGGGAGAAGAAGTTTGAGGTGCTGTTCACATCTAAGCTCATTTACATGGATCCTAGGATCACTGTTGCTTGGTGCAAACGTCATGGAGTACCAATCCAAAAGGTAGAAAACTTCTAAACTCAAGAAACAACATTGTGTTTTTTCCCTTACAAAACTCAAAAGAAAATTGATTCTTGTTCTAAGTATTCAATACATCTCTGATGGAGAAATTTGACTGGATAATTGATACAGAACCAGATTTCATATTCCGATGAATTTGGAGAGGAAAACAAGCCTAGCATATGAACTTTGCTTTTTGTATTGCATTTTCTAGTTATTTTGCCTTTGTAAGCCAATAAACAGTTTGTAGTGTTATTTTGCCTTTGTATCCTAATAACAGAGATTTGAAAGCGCGGAAACAGTTTGTATTGTGATTTTGCATTTGTATCCAAAAAAACAGAGATTTGAAAGCGCTGAAAACAGTTTGTAGTGTGATTTTGCCTTTGTATCCCAAAAAAACAGAGATTTGAGAACGCGGAGTTGCTTCCGACTTTTGTAGCAAAAACTTGGAAATGTAGAAGTTTCCCTTTGTTTCTATACTTGTTTCAACTGGAAAAAAAAAAAAAAAAAAAAAAAAAAACACTACTAAAACGACTCCGTAGAAAAGAGTCGCTAAAGGCCCACGACAACGAAATAATGGGCCTAAACCGGTCCATTTGATTTTATATAGTGTATTGACACTATTGTCCTAAATAATAAAGCCACAGAGACGAGTCGAGGAGGGGTATCGAAGTCAATTCACTTGTCACGCCTGATCAGATTCGGAATTCATCGTTCGATTTAACTTCTTCACGTCTGGTCAGAAAATTCAAAATGGCTTTCAACAGTCGAATCGACAACGTTCTCCGACGTATTTCCGGCGAGTTATTCTCACTTTAAGCACAAAAACTCTAGAGATTCGACTGTTGAAAGACTCTGACCGCTGCTAGAATCAATGTTAAGGCAAGAGGCGAGAAAGCGAGGTCTCCATCAGAGAAGGAGAAAGCGAGATCTCCATCAGAGAAGGAGAAAGCGAGGACTCAACTCGCCATATTGTTACTGCCCTTTTGAAGAATTGCAGCTATGAAGGTTTTTTATTTATTGAATTGATCATCCTTGTTTAGTAATCACATTGTTGGTTTTGACTAACATTTGTAATTTGGAAACTTTTTGTCAGTTACTGCTGTTCCGGATGTTCTTGAAGCCTGGAGAATTCTAGAAGATGAGAAGAGTTGCATTGATCTTGTCTTAACAGAGTTTGTCATGCCTGTGCATTCTGGAACTGGTCTGTTGTCCAAGATTATGAACTTGGGCTTGCAAGTATTGTTTAATAAGGCAAGCATCATCATCATTTACCGATTCCATGCTTTTATGCTTCTTGCTTGTTGACCTTAACTTGTGCAGACAACAAATCAGGTAGCTGAGTGTAGCATCATCAGGATTCTCGTTCTCCCCGCCTTCATTCTCAAAGTCTTCTTCAATCTGAATCTCTTCCCAGTCCCTATGTCATTCGCCAAACTGTTTACACATATCATGAACTACCCAAAAGATACACTGTAGCTTCCTTTGCCAAACTTGAAGGCAAGTCTTTCTAGGAGACAAAGATATTCAATTCATCTTTTGCTCAGCACACAAGTTGCATTTTCCTCCTCTCGTTTAGTATTGCATGACACGAAGTCATTGTTTCAATAACAAGGAAAATGCAATCTACTTTAACAAGGAACACTACAATTACAATCTACATTAATGCCATCATTGATATCTCTGCTTAATATGTGGAAAACTACTACTAACTTGTTTTTTCTTTCTGATCTTATCATTGAGCTAATGTTAAGCTCGACCTCAACTTGGGAATCTCTCTTTCACTGGGAGATGGTCCAAAGCAAAAAGATAGGGCCCTCCGGCTTCACCATGTCTCTAACAGTAAGATAGGTGCAATTTTCTCTTTAGTGCACCAAATTTGATTTACTTTTCTTTCATATGCGTTTTGCTGCAACTGTTAGTCAAATGTTTCTTTGTCGATTTGTCATAGCAATTTGGAACTCAAATATACTGTCTCATTAGCTAGCTCCTTGTCACGCGCTTTTCTCAGAAAACCGGTTGTGACATTGAGCCCTCATGATTTTTCATTGATTCATCAATTTCTTGCTCTTCCATTTGATCTATTCACAGATGGAGACCCATATGGCTGCAGCGGCATGTGATACGCCTTTCAATTTCTTGAAGAGGGGTTCAGACCATCTTACTAACCGGCATGCCCTTCCTTCTGCGTTCTTTTCACCCCATGGTATATAGTAAAATACATTAGCACACATCTTGTTATATCCAACTGTTTCTCACTGCCACACATTTATAACTTGCACAATCTTTTTTTGTACCTTTTGTCCAGAACTAATAATACACCATATGAAATAGAATGACAATCTATAAATTTATCGAACTTTAAGGAGTAATTTGTGCGATAAGAATTTCAATTAGATGTTCATCAAGTAGTTACTGTTGTGATTTTTGATCAGTTGTACTTGAGCTCAACTCTTTGATATCCTTTGAGAAGAGTTCTGTGTTGTTGCTTGTTAGTTCTACTTCTATGTTGTGATATTGAAAAACGGTCTATTTCTCCACGAGAACTATCGCATCACGATAGATAGAGCCCAAAGTATGACCCCGATCTATATATCTCTGAAACAAAAGTTCTATACCTATTTCTCCCCGACACAAAAGTTCTGTATCTAAATCTCTCCGAATTAATAGTTCTAGATCTATTAAACCATAATCCTGGGTTTCGTTGGTTTATTTTATATTTAACCAATTATTGAAAAACTAAACCCAATTAAACCAAAGAAAACCAGATTTTCTTAATATCTCTCTTCCCAGAGAATTGCACACAGAGAGTAAGATCGGGGCATTGGCTGAGAAGGAAACCCCACCAATTGTACTTCAATTCGCTCCATTGAACAGTTCCGTCTACGAAGGTTTCTGGTATAGCTTCTCGTCTTTGAAACTTGATAAACTTGGAATCGATGATTCTCCGATTCCAATCACCGGTAAACACACAAAAACATCAATTTTAACAGAAATTCAAAGATTATATGCATTAACATTGATTAATTTTCTGGGCAAGTTCTCATGATCCGTTTATGCTCGAGAAACAAAAAAAAAGTTGAGAACTCTGGTTTTATTGGAGGAAGAAGCCATTGGAGGAAAGATCAAGACTTTGCAAAGCTGGGAGAGTTATACTTCTTTGGATTTCGCCGGAGAGATCATTAGAACTCAAATCAAGAGCCTATAGATTCACCAAGTTGAAAATCGAAACAGGGATCGAGTCTTTGATGAAATTCTGAGACCGATTAAGAACCCTAATCTCAACTAGCTTCTTGAGAGATTCAGTCAATTTCTCCGACAACTATTTGTTCATGAGCTCCAATTTAGTAACCCTTCCGGTGTCTGGATTGATAGAGTTTAAATTGGGATTGCAGTGATTCCGGTCAAATTGGTTGCAGCAATCAATAGAAGAAAAATTGATTCCCCCCACCGGGTTTTTGTTTGTGATTGGCTATGAAGTCACGTAAGGCATCGAAGTCATACTTTTTTGACAGGGTAACAGGACGAAAGTTTGAGAAGAAGAAGCATTAGAATTAAGAATGGCACGAAAATCTTTGACAAATATGAGAGAATACGTGATGGGTTTAATGATTCTCACCATTTTAGAAGAAAGATGACGCACACGAGAGAGAGAAAGGCGTGAGAGAGAGGAAGGAGATAATGTATGTTGAGAAATTTGGTTTTCTCTGGTTTAATTGGGTTTAATTTTTGGAATAGTCGGTTAGATATAAAATTGGGTTTAAGTTTTGGAATAATCGGTTAAATATAAAATAAACCGAAGAAACCCAGGATTATGGTTTAATAGATCTAGAACTATTAATTCGGGGAGATTTAGATACAGAACTTTTGTGTCGGGGAGAAATAGGTATAGAACTTTTGTTTCAGAGATATATAGATCGGGGTCATACTTTGGGCTCTATCTATCGTGATGCAATAGTTCTCGTGGGAAAATAGACCGTTTTTCCTGATATTTCAAAGAGCACATGTATATCAATCTCACAGAGAATATGAAAAAAAAAAATTTGATGTTTGAAGAAAAAGACAGACTCCACAGGCAAACTCAATACCAAACTAGTATATATTTTTGACTCTTAGCAATTCCACTTTTGCTCAGCTAGATTGACAATTGCGGTTTCATCGACATCCAAGATTTTGACATGGTTAGGATACATGTCGGGAAAAGAGCTGGAGGGGACACAGAAAGGTTCAGACTTTGTGAGGAAAATGGAGAGATCTCCAATGTCTTGAGTGTAAACAGCGCTTCCTTTATCATCTAGCTTGAACACCATTAAAGCTACTGTCTGCATTTTTTTCGCAATTCCGTCGCTGGTCTCGGCTGTCTTCTTGTACAACTTAACCATGAAAGTTTCACCGGTGGTTCTTGACTCCACCAAGTGTTCGCTCTTGCAGCACGAATCTAGAAGCCTTTTGTTGTCTTTGGTCATATTGGGAATCTTTCTGAACCCCAACCTCTGAAACTTGGGTTTGTTGACATGTTTTGTGAGATCCCATGATGCGATGAGGTGGCCTCCAGATCCAGGTATGTGAAACATGTCATCTCTCTTGGAATACATGACAGGGGAAGAGAAGAAGCAAGGATTTTCGACTCTAATGTTGATCCACTCGGAGTTACTCTGAGCGGGTCTGAAAAAGCTGAGCTGAGGCCCCAAGAACTTGACAGCCACAACACAGTCTTCATCCTTGGGAGAAGATGAGGACATTGCCACGTTGGTGACGATTTGGGTTTGGCAATGAGGAAGAGTCACAAGAGGAGGCAGAGAAATACGTTTTGGATCTGCATCCGATGCAACCAGGTTTAGATCAATGTCTTGGAGACCTATCACGCCGTCCTTCAAAGTAGTTAGCCATCCATTGGATGATCCGATCGTTCTCATTTCGTTTGTCAACTCCATCGGCAAATTCTTTTCCAGAGGAGTGCTGTCACCAGCCCTCCTAATCACGAGTTTTCCGGGATCAGCTCCACAAGGATCAACGTACATGATCACACAAGGAGGAGTTTGCGGCAAAGAAGTAGATAAGAAGATATTATTAGAGTGAATAGGAGAAGATCTTACAAAGACAGGTTTCCGAAAGCAGAGCGTCGAGGGCTGGCTGAGAAGCAGAGACATGATTCTTAAAAGAGAGCAAGAGAATTAAGAAAGAAAGAAAGAAAGAACGAGAAAACAAAAACCTAATTGAAGAATTGGTGATGTTCACATCTAAAACCCTCCATTAATACAGAGGAAGGGACTTGGTCAGCAAGTTTCACATCTCCAAAATTAATTATGGTCTCTATGTATATTTTTTTCTTTCCCAAAAGTCCTTTTCTCCACTATACCATATAACTCTCATTAACTTACTTTTGCGTTTCCTACTTCTAAACCTAAATAAACAAGTCAATATTTTCTGATTCCAAATTTATATTCCATGTCTCTATATTATATTACATTCGATTTGCTTTCAAACATAAAGAAGATGGAGTTTGCGGGCGAGCAAGAAGAGCAGCCATTAGAGAGGAGAGTAGAGGGTCTTACAAACGAAGGTTTCCGAAAGAAGAGCTTCGAGGGCAAGAGACATGAATCTCCTTAGAGAGAAAGCAAAAGAATTAAGAAGATACTTGAACATAGGACACCAAAGCTTTACACTAAAGGGAAGTAGGTTTTTTCATTGGAAAATTGTATGCAATTTATTTACCAAATGTTGCACTTGATGTAAAAACATTTTTTTCGAATAAGTTTTACATTTTATTCAGGGTCGTGAATCTAATAAAGGTCGGAAGGAATTGTCTGTTGTAGAATCATCTATGTAACAGTTCTCGTAATTTGCAATAAATAATAAATCCAGACGACAAAAAAAAAAAAAAAAACTACAACCTTATAAAAAAGTAGTTAAAAGAGGAAAAATCTTCTTAAAAGAGTTATTTATGTAAACTACCTTAAAAACCTGAACAATTTAAGTATTGTACCTAGTTTGAGACATAAACACACAGTTGTTTTCTTTACCATACAGTTGTTTACCACACAGTTGTTATAGTCAGCAACGAAGCCTAAATGAGTCCAAGATGCTTGCAATGTTGCTTCCGTGAGATCTACGCAAGAGATGGAGAAAAGGCATGAGCTTCTGCACCAAACCCCAAAACAGATCAATCTTAGACATCGCCTTGGTGAATCTCAGTGCCTTGACCACCACGAAATTCCCAAACTCATTCCTCGCCAGCCTCATCAACGTGTCTCCATCGCAATCCAAAAGCTCCACAACCACCACAACCATTGACTCCTCCGCCTCCAAAAGCTTCTCCACGATGTAGCTTCCATACTTCTTAAACGAGAGATCAATGCAATGGCCATAAAGATTAACCGCGATGTTGTGAGTGCAACGCAAGTCATACAGTGTAAGCACATGTTGGACCACAAAGTTCCCTGAAGCATCGTTGCTTAGACAGAGAGCGTTGGATGCGACCAAGTCTAGTAGCTGATCTCTGTAGTAAGGATCGTCAGAGTCGGTTATGATATCGTTGAGCGCGATGCAGCCGTGTTGATCACACGCTAGGTCGAGAGCATGGTAGAGAATGTGCTCGTACATTGCCTTCTTCATCTCCTTGTCGAAAACGACCATGGCTCGTATCGTCACGTAGGTTGCGTATTTGTCGGTCGTGATGTGGAGGAAGCGGCGCAAGATAGCGGCACAGAAGAGCGCGTCGGCATCATCTGATTTGCCGAGGAGCTTCTGCACGCGTCTCGAGCCGTACTTGTTTGTGACGATCGCCATGAAGTAATCGGAGTCTGACGTCAGCAACGAAGCCATCCTCTGAAGCACTGTTTTGTCTGACTTTGAGATCATGCCTTTAAAGTAAGACACACCTTCGCCGTCAGTCATTAGGTTGAACAGAGCTGCGTGCAAGGGCGTGGCGGAGGCGCGTGGGGCGAATCCAGGAGGAGGAATGAAACCGGAGATTCCTTTAGAGTATGGTAAAGCATTGAACATGGTCGACATTGAAAAGGAATTATCGGCGACTGCCATTAATTGATGTTATCTCTTGATCTACAGAAGTTACTCTTGAAAAGGGTTTGATTAATTAGTGTGATTTTGGAGAAATATGAGAGACTTGTGAATGAGGAAGTGTTGGATCTGTGGTGATGCTTTTAGTATTTATAGAAAAGTTAGGGCTTTTGTTTTTCTACTTACAACACAATTTGGATTACTACTAGGAAAAGGAAACTTATTTGGTGGAGTTTCCTTTTTTCTTATATTTTCCTAACTATTTGATTTTAATAATAATAATGTATCTGAACAAAATGGAAACAAGTAGATTTTTTTGTAAATCGATAATATTTAGGCACGAAAATCAAATTAACATGGTTTATTTTTAAAAAGGAAAACAACGAGTCAAAGAACGGAGCTTTGCATAAAGTGATAATAATTCGTAAATCTTTAACAAAAAAAAAAAAAAGAAGAAGATAATAATTCGTAAATATAAGCAATCTGCTCTGTTTCCGACCCATTTGGGCTATAAATTTAAGGCCAAGAGAACTCTCTCTATTTCACTACTCGTACTTCCAAAATTTTCACATATAGCAATCTAAAAGCCAAATATAAGAAGACGCAATAAACACTATTCTTTCCCCTAATGGCAAGATCAGATTGTAAAAGTACAAAAAAGTGTCAAAGAAGAGAATTTTATGGTTCTACAAAGATAACACAAAGAAAAATGAATATTTTCTGCTACTTACAACTGTCTTTTACCCCGGAAAAGAATGGAGCAAATAAAAGGGTCTTGAGGACTAATCACTTGAGAAAAGAAGTAGCAAAGTATGAAGAGAAGAAACAGAGAATCTATATATCCTGCCTCTGCATTCTTCAAAAACACACTATTCTTCCTGGTTTGATGGATTCTCATCATCGCTTCCTTCTGGTGGTCCATGGAGCTTAAACCTGCATTTGAACGAAACCATTATTCTTCAGAGAGTGAGAAAGAAATAAGAACTTGCTGGTGCAAAAACACTAAATGGATCATCACCTATTGATGAAGAAATTTCCTTCATTGTACATCACTGTATCATCTGCGCCTTCCTGTGTGAAAAAAACCACAATGAGAAACACTTAAATTAAGCTCGAACCAAAACCAACTCATGGTATGTTGAAGTATTTGATGGAAAGAGTCTTCTTTTATACATAGTACATGCCGACATGAGAGCCACAACCGATACAGAACACTGGACGCATAGACTTGTCAACTCTTCCATTTACAGTGAACTCCATTATATCAGCATCAATCACCACATTGTAGCTGCCACCAAAAGGGTTTTTAGTAAAAGCACAAGCTGTAACAAAGTAACCTTGAATGAAATCCGAAGCATGATTTTACCATTTGGTGATGCAATATAGTTTCCCAAGGCTAGGCGGATATTGTAATAGCAGATTCTGCAGAAAAAAAACACAGAAATTCTATCAGATCAACTTTTCAGTAACAGTGGAGAAATGTCAAATTCTACTAGTTTCGATTTCTAAGAGCACATAACACAAACCAACTATCTACAAAAATGTTGATTCTTGCTGAATTCATCAATGACCATCACCAATATCAAGAAACAAATAAACCAAATTCGACATAGAAGAAACCGAAAGAAACAAGTTTTTGAGCAAGAAGCGTAAATCAAACCCTTGTGATTGGAGGATCTCCGTAAACAACGAATTCAACTTCGCAGTGCTTGCATTTATAAACCGATCCCTCGAGATCTATCTTGAATAATCTTCCCATTTCGCCTGAAGATTCCCACCAGATCTCAGTATTTACGATGTTACACGAAGAACACAAGATTCATCGATAATTGCAAAATTACAAGTAAATCGAAGAGATAATTTTTTAGCCAACTCAGAAATTAGAAAACGATTATCAAGAAATCGCCCCGTAAAACTTCACGAAATAATGCATCAAATTGACAATAAAATGAAGAAGAATCACCAAAATAACGATGAGGATATACTAATACTTAAGCCTAATACTTCCGAGAAAGTTCTAAGATTCCGAGAAAATTCTAAGATTCCGAGAAAATCGAGATCGTTTGATCTTACCCAGAGCCAGAAGAGGAAGAAACGCCAAAGACAAGAGGAAGAAAGAGTTTTCAAATTCCCCAAAGAATCGGTTATTTATAGATCCTACGGCCCATTATCCACGGGCCCAGTTTTCAGTATTAAAACTTTTTGCGAATTGGTCCACATTGGGTTTAGGGAGTAAACCGGGAATGTCGAGTTGAAGAGAACCGGATCTATATCTTGGTTTCCTTTCCTGCTTTTATCCTCCTGGGTTGTAAATAAATCAAAATGTCTAATATTCAAATCATCTGATAGTTTTATTAACAATAAAATCTGTATCTTTTTCAAAATATCTGATTTTAATATTTTAGGTTGTTTAAATTTTAAATAAAACCGCAATTGTAAACTTTTATAATTTTTCAAGAAAATTGTTACCGAGTACGTAAAAATAAAATTTATCTAATATAACTTGTGTTAGTGTTATTTTAGGGTATTCTTAATTAGTTTTTGTTTAAATGGTTTTATAAATAAATAAACTATTAAGTTTTGTATTTCAACATCACTTATGTTGGCCTCTTGGGGTTGAAATCGAGGGTAAAAAGTTTTAGGCTTTATAGTGACTTCAAGAAATTATTGAACCAGCTATTAGGCTTTATGGTTGGCTTTCGTTGGACATGCTATGCTCGACGTTACTTTATTATTGAGCCTTTATTATTATTATTCTCTAACTGCAACTACAAAAATAAAAAAGGGGATAATACCAAACCGAAATTGTAATTATTAGTCTACTAAAAGTCTAGCCATACCACACTACCAGTGATACCACACCAATAAACATCAAAATTAAAACAATACATATCATACCAAATCTCTCATCATGTTTTTCGCTCTGGAATCGGTTTTCGTACCGAGAACTGAATTCTCTATGGCCGGTTAAGCTGTACCCGAATTGGTTATTGTACCTAGTAATGAATGCTCTATGGCCGGCTAAGCTGATCCCATTAGCCCCACGCGTGTAGTTAAAAGAATTTCCACACCTACAAGGTAACAAAGGAAACATGAAACGAAATGTTTGTATAATTCTGTTTTCTTAACGGCAATGTTGGAAAATAGGAAGAGATACCTGCAAGTCATGTGGTCGCATCCGGAAGAACGTTCAATCATGTGTTGGCAATTGCTACATTGACGCCACTCTCTAAGATTTGCTAGAGACTTAAGCACATCATTTTGAGTATGCAATCTCTTGTACTTGGTGCATGTTAGCTTACTATGCCACGGAACTTTGCAGTGAATACAGAAGTCGCCACCGCATTTGAAGCATCTCCTACGTCCATATTTAGCAGATGAAGAAGAAAGCTCGGTTTTCGACATTAGATACGAGCACCTTTGGTATGGACAGTAAACTCTCTGGCTATAAGCTATTGAATCCTCTCTAATCCTCTGTTTCCACATCAAACTCAGCTTTTCATTCAAAATCTCACCACATCTAGCCATAGATAGCTGACACTTGCAGAGAGGCTGAGGACAGTTCGGTTTCATTCCATCAAGAAGCTTCACCTCGATATGTGATTTCACACAAGTTAAGCAATATCTATGACCGTATACACAAGCAGAAAACATGAGTGAAGGATCAATGTCTTCCATACAGATACCGCAAGTCTCTTTCTTAGGTTCCTTGCCTTGATTCTCTTTCTTAGCTTCCTTGGCTTGATAAAGCATTGACATAGTCAGTCTATTCTTTTTTTTTGTGCACCTCTTCATCATAGAGGGTCTATAGAAAAATTTAACATCTTCATTGAACATCTTCACAGGATTGCTAGATATGAATCTCTTTCTCATAACTTTCACATCATCCATTAGCAATGCAATCTTTTTCTCCTTGTAATCCGATATTTCCGAAAGCTACGTTCAAAAATCAACTCAACGTGTTACATACTTCCTCCGTTTTATAATATAAGTCGTTTTGGAGAAAAATTTTTGTTTCATAATATAAGTCGTTTTCAAGTTTCTATGCACTTTATATATTACTTTAATATTTTATAATTATTTATATTATGCAGTTTCTTTTATGATTGGCTGAACTTTTTAAAAGTAAATCTTCTTAATCTGCGTGTTTAAAGCTAAAACGACTTATATTATGAAACGGAAGGAGTATATAATTCCATTTTCGTATCTAATCCATGAGTGGCTTCTTCTAGACCACGCATCAAAGCCCTAACCTCGGCCTCCGTGGAAGTCATGTAGTGGTCATGAAGAAGTCCATTACTCTTAAACACCAGATTATCCTTGTGGTCGCGAATTACAACATCAAATCGCGTAGTTGTGACCGGCGTTTCGCTCTTGGACACAATCTCTACGCTTACCAAACTGTTGAAGTAAAGCTTGTGAAATTGAGGTTTTTCTTTGACTTTTCTCTCGGCGGAGTCAATCAGTGAAACGCCGTCTAAATCCATTTCACAAGTAGCCATGTGGTGCGACTAATGTGGTGGTGACAATGAGATTTTATGATGATTCATTCATATATAGTAGTAGTAGCATCCGAAGCCCTCAGAAGAATCTGCGAGAGAACAAAATAAAATCTACAAATTAGATTCGCGAAGCTTCAGGATCCTCGTTAAGATTGTTCCGCGAAAAAATCGGGGGAAAATAATCAGCGTAAATCTATCCAAATTTTTTTGTTTTTTTTGGTAAAAGATATCCAAATTTTTTTGTCTGAAACGTCTAGCTCTTGCGATCATTTACTACGTCGTCCGTGAAAGCTTCACCTAATTACAGCGAGCAGCGACGGCGGTGGAGGGAGATTGTAAATTTCGACGGAATAAGAAGGGTATAATCGTCATTTGTGATTGCTCTGAGGTCAACGTCTGCTCATTTCCGAGGTCAACGTCAGTCAAAACAAGAAGAAGTACACTAAAACATTTTTATTCTTTTCTAAAATTTGCAAGCAATATAGAAAAAAAAGATGTAAGTCAACGTCGTCGTTCGTTGACAATCTTAAGATTCGGTTTACCTCTAAACCAACCTCCCAGTCCAAGCTTTTGATTTTGTCCACGTCACCAATCTCGAGATACGTGAAATCATCGGGTCCTACACGACACGTAGGCTAGTTTTGCCACGTCATCGAACTCCAAAATAATATCTTCTCTGACCTTTTTTGTTCCACCACCTCCCCAAAAGTCCCAATCTTTCAATCTTCTCTTCCTCTGATTTAAAATTTCTTTCTTTTTACATATTTTAGTAGCAATTGGATTCTGTAAAGTTGTTGGTAAGAGAAAAAGTTAGATACGAATCAAAACATTTTTGGATGATACCTTTCATTTAGTGTAGGTGATTAAATTGCTAAGCAAAACATCTGTTCTTTTTTTCGTTGTAATTTGTTTTTTTGAAAGTCAGGTATGGTAAGAGATTCTGGTGGTGGTGGTGTTCTTCATCTATGGATTAAGCTACAAAGGTTTGCTTTTGTTTGTTTTGTCGCTTTGACAATCTGCTGCTGTTTCAGTTTTTGTGCTTATTTCATTAAGTATCATAGCTTGGAGTTTGATTTTGTATCTGGGTTCTGAGGAATTTATAACAACTTTGAGAAAGTTGCCAAGTACTGTGATCTTAGATCTAAGGAATAAAAGAGACTGTGTTCAAACTTTCTTAACTCGTTGCCAAGTACTGTGATGATTTTCTATTGGTACATTCTAGCTTTTGATTTCAGAAACAACAAGATTCAGATTGTTTCCTAAAGCTGAGTGTGCTCTACTATTGAACTTTGATTTGGCTTGTTTAGTTTTTCTTTGGGCAAAGTTTGAGGATTTATCCAAATTCAGTTTTTGTTTTGTTCTGGTGTGAGACTGTGATGTTCTTACGGAATGTTGCTATTTTTGTTTCTCTTTTCTTATTGGGTTGAGGTTTTGGTGAAGGGATTAAAATAAGTTTGGGGAAAGAAGAAATGTGCAAGTGTTATGTCAGTGTAGAGGGGACGTTTCTGCAGAATCTTAGCTGTTATTTGATGCTGCTTCTATTCTATCTTGTTCATGGAGGCTGGTCTTGACATTTTCTTTAGATTTCTAAAAATGTGTTTTAATAACAACGAAACTGGTGATGAAGTGAAAACCGAGAGGCAAGTGTTTGTTTCATCCGAAGAAGATGAATTTCGAGTTGAAGATACTCCTGGAGATGATGCCAACAATTTGATACAGATTTCTCAACAACAACAGCAACCGCTAGCTCCTGTTGTTAAGTGGGAGAGGTATCTCCCGGTTAGATCGCTTAAGGTTCTTCTGGTGGAGAATGATGACTCAACACGCCATATTGTTACTGCCCTTTTGAAGAATTGCAGCTATGAAGGTTTTTTTTTTATTGAATTGATCATCCTTGTTTAGCAATCACATTGTTGCTTTTGACTAAGTTGTGAATTTGGAAACTTTTTGTCAGTTAATGCTGTTTCGGATGTCCTTGAAGCCTGGAGAATTCTAGAAGATGAGAAGAGTTGCATTGATCTTGTCTTAACAGAGGTTGTCCTGCCTGTCCATTCTGGAACCGGTCTGTTGTCCAAGATTATGAGCCATAAGACACTTAAGAACATCCCCGTCATAAGTATTTACTTAAATCCTCATTAAATAATTGTTTATCTAGTTTCATTATGCGATGCTCAGTTTGTGTAACTCAAGATCTGATGTTTTCTTTTTGTAGTGATGTCATCTCATGATTCTATGGTTCTGGTCTTTAAGTGTTTGTCGAATGGTGCTGTTGATTTTCTCGTGAAGCCCATTAGAAAGAACGAACTAAAGAATCTTTGGCAACATGTCTGGAGAAAATGTCACAGCGTATGAGTTCTGATTTGGTTACCTGTTTTACAAAAGTTACTCTGTGTTTTTTTCTTTTACTTATGCGTTTCTTGATTTACCAGTCTAGCGGAAGCGGAAGTGAGAGTGGAATACAGGACAAGAAGTCGGTGAAACCTGAAAGCACTGAAGGGTCAGAAAATGATGCCAGCATCAGTGATGAACTCGAGACGGAAGATGGGAGTAGTGGTGGTTTGAGTAACCGAGATGGTGGAAGTGATAATGGGAGTGGAACTCAGGTAATATGTTTCTGTGGCTATAGATAATAACAATGTCGGAATAATCTGTTTATAAATTTTTTATTGGTTTTGCATTTATAAAAATATGTAGAGTTCTTGGACCAAAAGAGCCAGTGATACTAAGAGCACCTCGCCTTCAAATCAATTGCCCGATGCACCCAATAAGAAAGAAACCTATGAAAATGGATCGGTACATGTTAATAAACCGAAGGAGGTTGAAGATCAGAAAGAACAAATAGGTAAGAACACAATTTAATTAGTCACTTAAAATGTGAGTACACTGATCTTGTGGAACAATTCCTTGAGATTCTATCTGTTTTACTTTAGATGATATTGTAATAGGCACGGGATCACAGACAGGAATGTCTATGAGTAAGAAAGCTGAAGAACACGGAGATCTGGAAAAGGATGCAAAGTATTCTGTTCAAGCTTTGGAGAGAAACAATGATGACATGCTGAATCGCTCTTCTGGTAACTCACAAGTAGAAAGCAAAACATCTTCATCTAACCGAGAAGTTTTGCAATCACTCGAGCAAACTCTGAAAAAACCAAGAGAGGCTGGAGATTACAGAATCGGTGATCAAAGTGTTTTGAGGCATTCAAATCACTCTCCGTTCTCAAAGTAAGTTCTTGACCTTAACTGCTAAAGAACTGTGGAACCTGTGACTGATTTGGAGTTATTGTTTCTTGTGTCATATACTCATGTGCAGATACAATAATGATGCTACTTCTGCTAATAAGGTAATTTTTACGATGCTTGACGCTGTCTTTGAAATCTATGCCGGTTTCATCATAAAGCTTTAATTTTTGGTGAGTTAGGCTCCAGAAGAAAACATGGGAAGTTGTTCTCCTCATGGCAGTCCTGTTGGGAAACTGTTGGGTTCGGGTTCGAGCAGTGACAATCCTTTAAATCAGCAGTCTAGTGGAAGTGACCGATCGGCACAAAGAGAAGCTGCTTTGATGAAGTTTCGCCTTAAACGTAAAGAGCGATGTTTTGAGAAGAAGGTAAGCTCTAAACAAGCTTAAGCTCTCGTTTCCTAGACGAAAATTATCGCCTTTTTTGTATGCTTTAGGTTAGGTACCATAGCAGGAAGAAACTAGCTGAGCAACGGCCTCGCGTCAAAGGTCAATTCATTCGCAAGTAAGTTCAAATCCTTTGCAAGATTTCTCCCTATAGATGTTTCAAAAAGTATCCTTATATAGTAATGTACTCACATGGAGTCCTTTGCATGATTATAAATCAGGAAGTGACGACAGTTGAACAACAAAATTGGTATAGAAGAGAGATCCATTTCTAATATCTGAAGAACCAGAAGAAACTTTCACAAAGTGGCATTTTTTTTTTTTTTCCATTTTTAAAAATAAAAGAGTAGTCTTGTCTAAATATCGTATTTTCTATTCTACAAACATAATAATGTTGCTATAGTATTTCTTCTCTAAAAACAATCATTTACTCATTAATTCTGATTAATATTTTATTACATATTCAAAAGTCTTATCTTCTTAATTACACTTTTTATACATTTTTTTTCTTCATTTGATAGTGTGAGCCTATATTTTTCTGTGAATGTAATTTTGAGTATTATTTAATTTTCTAATTTTTAAAAATAATTAGAGCGCATAATCTTCCGTCTATATATATCCTCCGGCGAATTCTTTTAGTTCTGATCATCCAAATCTCTCTCATTCTCTTTCTCGCTCTAGTTTTCTCGTTGAGAGTCTGTTACTCTGTTTAATTACAAGTTTTTTCCGGGAAAAAGTTTCTCGGGAAAATAAAAGAAAAGAAGTCTCAAGAAAGATTCATCTTCGTTGATCGCTACGATGAAACGTTTCTTTTGCTGTCTCAAAGGAGGAAGCTCACGTAACGCAGGGCAAGGTAACGACGAGAACGACGAAGTAAACCTCGACCGACCATTTGGGAATAACGAGCGCCTCAATCATCTTTGGAGAAATCATCTCTCACTTCCTGACGATCGTGAAGTTGCAGGTTCCGTTTTCGCTTCTCTGTTTCAATCTCTTGAAATCGAAATCGAGATTTCTTGTTTTCTGGGTTTCTTGTACCTTAAGCAACTCTGTTTTGAAGAAGTTTCTTACTTGTTTGTTTTGATCTCGTCACGTTCATGCAAGTGAAAGTAGTATATTAGTTCTTCTTGTTTCGAAACAGCGTCTCCATCTTGTGAACTTAAACTGATTCGTTATCGTAACACAAGAAGAAATTGATTTAGGGTAAATCTTGTTCGATCTTTAAGTTTTGGTGATTCATTTGCAGATCCCACTGCTCGTTTTTTCCCTATATCTCCACCTCTACCTGATAATTGTGGAGCATCATTTCTATGGCGCGAACTCGTAGACGGAACAATAAACTTCCGGGACGAATATTTTCTCGGCAGAGGCAACTTCGGCGAAGTCTATCGCTGCCGTTTCTCAAGACTTAATGAGGTATATATATCGACCCAAAAGTCATGTCCTTTATGGTTAAATATCGAAACTAAAGTCTGCAACTTTTGATTTCATTAGGATGGAGCCGTAAAGATTCAAAAACCAGACAATCCAACTGGTCATGTTGAGTTCTTGGCAGAGGTTACAACGTTACATGCAGCTAATCACCCAAATGTGATTAGACTTCTTGGCCATTGTTACGGCCAAAGGAACCGTGCTATAGTCTACGAATTCATGCCCAATGGCTGTCTTGAGCGTCACATCTTTGGTAAAGAAAACTCAATCAAACCTAATTGATGACTCGGTTTTAGTTTCCGGGTTGTTAATCAACTCCTTGTCTTCTTGTATAGCACACGCAACGAGGGTGCAGGGTCCGTTTCCTCAGGGTCTACAACTACCAATTAGGGTTTTGAATTGGGATACGAGGATGAGAATTGCTTTGGGTGTAGCCAAGGGTCTGGTTTATCTACACCAGGAGCTGAAAGTGATTAACCGAGATGTCAAGGCCGGAAATATTCTACTTGATGCAAATTTTGTGCCAAAGCTGACTGATTTTGGATTGGCGACTAAAATCGATGTAGATGAAAACGGTGTTGAGAAGCAGATCCTGATCAATCCGATGAAGGGATCTTTGGGATACATTGCACCGGAAGGAGAGATTTCCGGGTTTGTTTCGACTAAGACTGATGTCTATAGCTATGGAGCTCTTCTGTTAGTGCTTTTCACCGGAAGGCAGCCTTTTTATGTGAAGAAACCTGTTGGGATTAGGGAGAATCTCACTGAATGGGTATGACTCAAACTTTTGTGTCTAGAATCTTTGTACGTTTCGTGTTCTGCAAGTTAAGATCTAAATCTGAGTTGTATTTTTGCAGTTTATCAGAATATTGCCTAGACTCGAGGATGCGCCTGTGAAAGTTGATGTTGCGCTCGGTTATAGGTATTCGGTTGAAGGTTTAAAGAAGATATTTGATACTGCGAGGATGTGTTTAAAGACAGAGCGACTTGAACGGCCTACTATGAGTGATGTGGAAGCAATGGTTCTCGAAGCTGCATCTTTCCCGGTCCAAGTGCCGCCCCAGGTGAAAAGGAGGCGTTCGGCTTCGACATATGAAGTTTTCTCCGGGGGTTTTTAGTAGGCTTTTTATTTTGGTGTTTGGTTTTTCGGAAACATATTATAGACTTGGTTTTGGTACTGGTTTTACCATTTAAGATGAGATCAGGTTGTGAACTTTTTTAGATGGTTTTGGTCATCATTCGCTGTTATGAAACTTCTTAAAATAGGAGTGGAGAGGAAAAAGCAAAGCATAACTGTTGTTATTGGAATTTAGTTAGATGCTAAGTCTTTCAAATTTATCTCTTTGATTCTGCAACTTATAAAAGTGACGTTTTGAATGGGCTTGACTCTTGATCATATATACCACGAGAAGCTTTATATATGATTTGAATCAGCAGTCTAGTGATTGTGAACGGTCAGCATAAAGAGAAGCTGCTTTAATGAAGTTTCACCTTTAAGAGCCATGTTTTGAGAAAAAAAAAAAGCTATCTCTAAAGAAGCTTAAGCTCTCTGTTTCTTGAGACGAAAGTTATCGCCTTAAACATGGAGTAATTTGCCTTTAGGAAATGAGTGTCTGAGTAGTGACTACATTTGAGCAACAAATTTGGTCTAAAAGAGAGATTCCCTTGGAAGATGTGAAGAACAAAAAATAGTTTCGCAAAGTGGCATTGTCTCTCTAACATGAGATTCTCTTCAATAGTCTTTAATTTGGATTCATTGTATATAGTTCTAGTAATTTTTCTTTTCATTTATTTTGATAATAAAGTCTGTAAAGATTATTGCCATGATTTTTGTTTTTGAATGAATGAATGTTAAATTTATTCAAACCAATAAAAACCCCTGTTTTATAATATATGCCATGAATATTAGTACGCAAATCTTGTGTAAATATCATATTTCTTCAGATATAATATTGTACGTGCTATACATATATATTATTTTATTTTATTTAGTCACATTGTACTTGCTATATACTACTATTTATGTTCTGCAAACATTATTTTTTACTCATGAATTTTGATTACTTTATTGATAATTCTTCAAAAGTCTTTATCTTTCTATTTTCGCCAATCTCTTAGTTACACTTTTTATTCAAAAAAAAAAAAAATCGTATGAGTCTAATTTTTTTTTTTTTTTTGAGTCTAATTTGTGTATAATTTAATTTTATCATAAATACAAAAAAATTACGCATAGAAGTTAGAGCGCATATATGTTTACGTGTATATATATATTCGGCGAGTTCTTTTAGTGTTTATCATTCGACTCTCTGTTGCTCAATCTTTCTCGCTCTAGTGTTCTCGTAGAGAGTCTCTCTCTATCTAATTACATTTTCCGGGAAAAAGTTTCTCGGGAAAATTATAAGAAAAAAAGTCTCAAGAAAGATTTATCTTCGTTGAATCGCTGCGATGAGTAATCGTTTCATATGCTGTTTCGGAGGCGGAAGCTCAAGTAAAGTAGTGCAAGATCCATCGGAACTACCGCAACAGCAACCACAAGAATCACCGGATCCATCGGATTCATCCGATACATCGGAACAACCAAATTCACAACCGCATTCATCGGGGGGAAGTGGTGACGACGAAGGTGAATTTGGGAATAATACTTATGGAAATGACTACACACAAGAAACTTCTCGTTTTCTGATTTCTTGTTCCACAAGAAACTCTGTTTTTAGACAAGTACAAGCAAATCTGTTTTAAGTGTTTACTTCTTTTGGAATTACAAGTAGTTTTGATCTGGTTTTTACTTTCACATGACATTTCTGCGTGTGAAAGAGTAGTAGAGTTCTTAATGTTTTGAAACAAGTTTCTCGATCTTGTGAAATTGATTTGGGGTTCTTGTTCTTCGTTATCTTTCTTTCTTTAGATCTTGAGAAGTTGATTTAGGGTTCTTGTTCTTGGTTATGTTTCTTTCTTCCTTAACTTATAGTAATTCATTTACAGCTCCGAGTACGGGAGTTAAATTTCGATGGCGTGAAATCGAAGACGGAACCGAAAACTTCGGGATAACACATTTGATCGGCCAAGGCAACTACGGCAAAGTCTATCGCTGCAATTTCCCAAGAATTCATAAGGTATAATAACCCAAAAGTCTTATGGTTAAAATCTGAAACTCAATTGCTAAATTTAGCAACTTTGGTGTAATTAGGTTGGAGCTGCAAAGATTCATAATAATAATATCACAGCTGCTCTTAGTGAGTTCATAGCAGAGACTACAACGTTATATGCAGCTGATCACCCAAATGTGATTAAACTTCTTGGCAAATATTTTGGCATACAAAAAAGTGTCCTAGTCTACGAATTCATGCCTAATGGCTCTCTTGACCACCATCTCTTTGGTAATCAATAAAAAACCTAATCAACTCTGTTTAAGTTCTATACCAATTCCAGTTTTGTTAACTCTTTCTCTTTTTGTAGCTCAAGCAAGGCAGGTTCAGGGTCTAACGAAGCCAACTCGGGTTTTGGATTGGAACACAAGGATGAGAATTGCTGTGGGTGTAGCCGAAGGTCTGGTTTATGTACACCAGGGGCTTTATGCGATTCACAGAGATGTCAAAGTCGAAAACATCTTACTTGACAATAATTTTGTGCCGAAGTTGAGTGATTTTGGATTTGCGACTAAGATCGTTTACAATTCAAACGGTGTTGAGAGGCAGAGGGAGTTCAATTCGAGTGGAACTCAAGGATACATAGCACCGGAAGCAGAGGAGTTCGGGTTGATTTCGACAAAGTCCGATATCTATAGCTATGGAGTTTTTCTGTTAGTGCTTTTAACTGGAAGGAAAGCTTATGATATGAAGAGACCTGTTGCGAAAGAGAAACTCACTGATTGGGTATGACTCAAACTTTGTATCTAGGTTTTGTTTTTATACGTTCCGTAAGTAATGTATTAATTTAGGTTTTCTCGGATGTATCTTTTTTTTTGCAGTTAATGCCAGTATGGACTAGACTGGAGTATGCGCCTATGGTAGTTGATGTTGCCCTCGGTAATAAGTATTCGGTTGAAGGTTTAAACCGCCTATTTCAAACTGCGAGGATGTGTATAAACGCACAGGCACTTGAACGGCCTGCGATGGATTTTGTGGAAACGATGGTTCGTGAAGCTGCAGCTTTCCCAGTACTCCCAGAGGAGACCCCTGTGACCGAGAGGTGTTCGACTTCGACATAAGAGGTTTTCTCAGGCGGTTTTATGTAGGCTTTATTTTTTTGGTGTTTGTTTTTTCAGAAACATATTATAGACTTTGTTGTGTAACGGATGGTTTTGTTAATGTTTCTTCCATTTGAGACAAGATCAAGGTGTGAAACTTTTGAGACAATGCCATCTGTGCAATAGTTGTTAATCAACGACTGAGATCTCTTTGTCTTCATTTCTCTGTTACAAAACTTTCTTAAAATAGGAGAGAAGATGAGGGAGAGGAAAAAACAGAACAGAAAAGTTCTTACCTCTGGAATTTTCTTAGATCCTAAGTCTTTCAAAACAATCTTTTTGATTTCCGATGCGTTGGTTTGGATTCGAGTTCCACGAGAACCCACTAAATCAACTGGATCATATGGATGATTCTTCACCTATACGAGACATGTTGTGAAAGATCTTGACTCTTGATCACATATACCCACAAGGCCACAAGAAGCTTTACCGGCTGTTAGGTTATCTTTAGACCCACGTCTCTTTAAATGTTTCAATTGAATTTTTTAGCGATAACATTCAAAAATTAATGTTGTTTTTGATCCCATTGGGTATAGGAGTCATTCGTTGGTATTGAATCTATTTGTAACCACGTTGATAAAATGGAGGAAGCTTCAACATCGACATCAGCTCCAATGGCTGCAAAACCAACCGTTGTTAGAAAGACAATGGCGAAGCAATTCACCGGAAAACGTGAAGATTCGCCGCTCCATTCGGCTGTTAGACGCGGAGATTTCTCTGCGGTGAAAGATATTTTGAGTAATCATATGGAATCAGAAGAGGAACTAAGAGAGTTGTTGCGGAAACAGAACCAATGCGGTGAGACTGCTCTTTATGTGGCGGCAGAATATGGTGATGCCGAGGTGGTTGCAGAGCTCATCAAGTACTATGATCTCGAAGACGCTGAGACCAAAGCTAGAAATGGGTTCGACCCTTTCCACATTGCTGCTAAACAAGGAGAATTGGGTATGAATTTTTTCGGTTTTCTATCACCTTACCATATGAAGAAAGTTTTGATCTTTGTTTGATCTTAAGAATTGGGAAGAAACAATTACATAAAAATATGATGAAAGTGTTTATCTTTGTTTGATTTAAAGAACCAAATTCACATATCGAAAATTCGATCAAAATTATTATTTATATAATCATGAAAGTTTCCATTCTTTTTATTTATTGAAAGAATTGAGTGGAAACAATTTCATAAAAATCTCATGAAAATTTTCTATATTTATTTACGTGTGATAAATTGACGAAGTTTGAAATCTTTTTTTTTATAGACGTTTTGAGAGTACTAATGGAAGAACATCCGGAGCTATCAATGACGGTGGACTTATCAAACACGACGGCTCTACACACGGCGGCAGCTCAGGGACACGTAGAGGTCGTAGAGTATCTACTAGAAGCCGCAGGGAGTAGCCTAGCCGCGATCGCAAAGAGCAATGGAAAAACAGCATTGCACTCGGCGGCTAGGAACGGTCACGCGGAAGTGGTAAAGGCGATTGTGGCGGTGGAGCCGGACACGGCAACGAGGACTGATAAAAAAGGTCAGACGCCACTCCACATGGCGGTGAAAGGACAAAGCATTGATGTGGTGGTTGAGCTAATGAAGGGACATCGGTCGTCATTGAATATGGTTGATTCTAAAGGGAACACTGCGTTACATGTTGCTACTAGGAAAGGTCGCATTAAGGTTCGTAAAACATCTCCAATAATTCTTGTTTTCAAATTAAAATTTTAGTATTTTATTAAAAAAAAAAAAATTTAGTATTTTAAATGGTAAAACTTAAAATTTACTTTTGTAAAATGTGCATGCAAACATAAAAATTAAGTTTGACATTTAACGAAATTTATATGTTGCAAATTAAATGTAAAGGCTATGATTGGATAATATAACTTAGGGAAATTTTAATGTGATTGCAGATAGTGGAATTGCTTCTAGATAACAACGAGACAAGCACAAGCACAAAAGCGATAAACAGAGCCGGAGAAACGCCGCTTGACACGGCTGAGAAAACCGGCCATCCCGAGATCGCCGCGATTCTCAAAACTCGGGGCGTTCCCTCGGCTAAAGCCATCAACAACACTACTCGACCAAACGCAGCGCGGGAGCTCAAACAAACGGTGAGCGACATTAAACATGAAGTTCATCACCAGCTAGAACACGCTCGAGAGACGAGGAAACGCGTTCAAGGAATCGCCAAACGCATTAACAAAATGCACGTAGAAGGTCTTGACAATGCAATTAACTCAACCACAGTCGTGGCGGTTTTAATCGCAACTGTCGCTTTTGCCGCCATTTTCACCGTTCCAGGACAATACGCCGATGAATTGAGTTCGCTCTTACCGGGACAATCTCTCGGAGAAGCGAACATTGCGGATAGACCCGCGTTTGCAATCTTCTTCATATTCGATTCAATCGCTCTTTTTATATCTTTAGCGGTTGTGGTGGTTCAGACTTCAGTGGTTGCGATTGAACACAAGGCGAAGAAGAATATGATGGCTGTGATAAACAAGCTGATGTGGTTAGCTTGCGTTTTGATATCGGTGGCTTTTTTGGCGTTAGCGTTTGTGGTGGTTGGTGAAGAAGAGCGGTGGCTAGCGGTTGGAATAACGGTGTTTGGTGCGACGATAATGCTCACGACACTTGGGACAATGTGTTATTGGGTCATTATGCATCGAATTGAGGCTTCGAATGTGAGAAAGTCGAGAAAAGAGTCGATGGCAAGATCGAGACAATCAGGATTGTTGGAATTTTCTGGGATTTTAACTAAGAGAATGTATGCTATTTAGTGATTTAGAGACAAAGTGTATGTGTTCAGTTTTGTTCTTGAAAGATCTTTTAAAGATGTAGAAAGCAGAGGCCCTAACGTGTGGAAGAAGTAAACAAAGTTTAATGGTGAAAATTTGTTTTTTCTTCCGTTAATGGTTTATGAGGCCATTATTTTTAGTTTGCAACTTTAATTAAAATGTTCTCTCTTCAAAAGTGTATTAGATGCAGCGTTTTGAAATAGTATTGAACTTTAACCATTAGAGCATGTGCAACGGATGAGACTTTCAAAGCCTCTCATCTATATTATTTTAATACATGTAATTTAGTTTGTTTTTTATTTAAATTTTGGATGATAAAAAAAAAGCTCATAACCAATAATATTATGACATGTGTCATAATAGTCTCTCAAGGGTTCTCAAGACTTCTCATTTGAGAATCAATTCTTATCCCTCTCTTCTACTTTTTATTATTTTTAATTTTTATATTGTTAAGAAAAGAATTTCCACTACACATGCTCTTAAATTTTTTATTCTATTGAAACATGTTATAATTTGCTTGTTCATCGCTGAAAGTGAGGAGTAGACAAACTATGAGTCAACATTTTTTTAAATTAAATTCTTTATCTATATTGTAAACAAGAACTAATTATTTTCATAACATTTCATTAATTCTATATCCATGCAAGAAAGCATGGGGTTTGCTACTAAACTATGTTTAAACTACAAAGTACAAAGAGATAACAATGGCACACAAATAGACATTATGCAACATATTAAACCACAAAGACAAACACTGAAATAGACATTTATGATTATAATAATTAAAAATGAGAAATGATGTCAACATCAAAGATGAATCATAACGACATTATATTGACATTATACAGTTATATGAGGCAATTCCTAAACCCAACAAGAACAGAACAGTTCCATAATCCTCTCTTTTGTCCTCTTCCATGGATTCTTCTTCTCAATGGTCTGATCTTCCTTTAGATATGCTTGAGTTAATCTCCGATCGTCTTGACGACGACGACTCATCAGACACCATTGATCTCCTCTGTCTCCGCTCTGTATGTGCCACTTGGCGTCTCTCTCTTCCTCTCTCCAACAACAACAACAAAAATCCTTTGTCTAAATTCCCAAAGTATCTTCCTTTTTGGTCATCATCTTCTTCATCCTCTGGTTTCTTCATTCTGAAACAGAGCAGTGTCTATGAACTCGAAGCTCCTTTGAATCCGAGAAGCTGGTTGGTTAAGATTCAAGAGACATCTCCAGGGAATATGCGAGTCTTGGATCTCTTCTCAAACGACAGAATCTGTTTCTTACCAGAGAATTTCCCGGAAAAGATCGACTTGCAGGAGTTTCATGTGAGATTGGTTCGTAGAACTTATCGTATGGACTACGCAAACAATGGTGGTGAGATTTCTTGTTTCTGGTCTTTAAATTCCGACAAAGTTGTGATTTTGTCTTCAGGGGAAGACTCAGCGATAGTGGCTATTCACAGTGGTGGGAAATTAGGGCTTTTGAAGAGTGGAAACGAAAAAAGATGGAGAATTTTGGATAATTCATGGAATGTGATTTACGAAGACATAATGTTGTACAGAGAGAATTGTTGCATCGTTGTAGACGATAAGGGTAAAACCGTAATTTACGATGTGGATTTCAAGGTTTCGGATTTGGCTGAAGGTTTGGTCGGAGGAGGCGGTCACAAGAAGCATCTTGTGGAATATCCCGGCGGAGAAGTGTTGCTTGTTGACAAATACGTGAAACACGTTTGGTGCAAATCGGAGGTTTCGAAATCTGCGGTTGAGTTTAGAGTTTATAAGCTGAAGAGAGAAGAGAAGAGATGGGAAGAAGTGAGAGAATTAGGAGATGTGGCTCTCTTTATTGGAGATGACTGTTCTTTCTCCGTTCAGATTCCGGCCGGAGATTCGGCCGGAGGTTTTATATTCTATAGAGATTATAGGAATGGAGGAAGAAGCAGAGGTGTTTGCAGTGACGGTGATGGTGTCTTCAATGTGGAATTTGAGATGCAGAGTGATTTTGTATTTCCTATAAAGCCCAAATGTTTTGGCCCATAACATGATTTGGGCCTCTAATTCTATGGTCCAATTTTATTAATTATGAATTCAAATGGCCCAAACGTAGCTAAATTTTTCCGATAATAATTATATCGCAAACAATCAGTCAATCACCGTTTTAAGACATTTTGGTTGAACGGTGATTGTTTATAATATAAAGAGAGTAGATCACATTAAAATATACATACATGTTTAATATCCATGAACAAATGGAATACAAAGTTAATGAGTGTAAATGTGATATACTCTCTTTATATTATAAACAATGATGTGTATTAATTGATGTTTCATATTCATGATTACAACATCTAACGTTACATTTGCCATGAGAGAGAGGTAACCAGAGTTTACAATAGACGTTAATGCTTTGGGCCACTATTGCCTTCCCACAAATTGACATTATGTAGTCGGTGGTAGAACAAGTTTGAGCTTGATATTGATTGAATATATGTACATAAATTTTATTGAAAACTTACGCATATAAACGACAAGCCCGGCTCTATACATGTGTCCTTGGTGCTCATGCACAGGGTCCTTGTAATTTTGTGTCTTTTATCATAACTAAATTTACTAAAATTAGGGTCCAAAATTTTTTTTTTTTTTAAAGCATGAGAAATAAAGGTTAATTTTTATTTCAGTTCAGTGTCCTTAAATTTTTTGAGCCGGCCCTGATAAACGACAAAGTTTTAGTTGATTGAGAAGTTCCAAGAGAGAAAATCCAAAGTCAATATGCTTTTGATCAAACGCATAATTCTAATATTCATGAACAGATGATTTATATCAATTTGTCCCATCGGCTTTCAAATCCATGTGTACCCCCCTAAAATGGGTATACTTTCAAACCGGTTCTTGCTCAGGCTAGACCGTGCTGATCCGATCGATGACAATCAAACCGGAAGGACCAATGAGTTTGTTTCTTTGTAACCAAAAAAAATTCCAATAAGAGACCAATTTAGAGATGTCAAGAAAAAAGAGAGACCAAATTAGATATACTAATTACTTTTTTTTTTTTTTTTTTTTTTTTTTTTTTTTTTTTTTTGTAAACCTGATATACTAATTACTAAATGCCAAATTTTAACCGTAAAAGTTTGTTACCTTTGGTTTTCTCAAATTCAACTATGAAAAAAGGAAAAAAAACTACACATGGAGGCAATGATCTATCTATCTGTAAAAGTTTACATAAAACAAGTAGCTTTGTTTTTTCTTCAGGTTTCTTTTTAAATCATTTTTCTCTCACTCACCATTGCAATTGTAATTTTCCTATTCACAGATCCAAAGTCCTTTCATTTTCTTGGATTCTGATTCTCCCAAATTCATTTTTTTCTTGTGTGGGGAAATCTGCATCTTTGTCCACCTCTTTTATTTTCCCAAGAAAGAAAACAAATTCCCACAATTTTCTTGTCTTCTCTTCAACTTCTTCTTATAAGTTCCAGCTTTTTTTTTTTTTTTAGTTTCCCCAATTATCTCCTTTTCTTGTTTGTTTTTGAGATTTCTACTAAGAAACTGAGCTTAATTTTCCCGCGGGAATTTTCTTAGAATCACAAAGTTTCTTTTTTTTTTGCTCTCGTGAAAGTTTGAGAAATTTACTTCTTCAATGGCGTCAAGAGAAGTATCAACGATGATCAAACAAGGGTTTATCGCAGACCCTTCTCTCTCTTTTTCTCCGTCAAGAATCACATCTCCTGTTAAGCTCTCCTCTCCTCCTCTTCCTCCGCCACCTCCTCCGCCGCCGCCGCCAAACGTATCGGCTCACTCAAATCCGACTCTTTTCGACATGATGTCAGACGAGCACAACCGCGAGCTACCACGAAGGAAATCTCACGCGCGTGTGGCTCAAATCTTGACGGAGTTCAAGAACGGCGTCGTTTACGGCCATAGTCTCGGGCCAGGCGACGTTAAGCTGACTGTGGTGGGTAAAGACGGTTACAGAGTCACCATGGATGTTCATAGGAAGGTTTTATCAGAGAAGAGCAGGTTTTTCATGGAGAAGATGAATTCTAGAAGAGAGAAAGGAGTATCTCACATGGTGGAGATAAGTGAGTGTGATGATTTAGAGATTTATATAGAGACTGTGGTTTTGATGTATAGTGATGATCTCAAGAAGAAGTTGATCGGTGAAAATGTCATCAAAATCTTGGCTTTACTCAAGGTATATATATTGTCCAATTCGATTTTGATAAGTGTCTTCTTGGGGTTTGTTTTGCTTTGGTTTTGAGATGGTTTTAATGTGTGAATCTCATTTTCTTGGCTAGGTTTCTGCAGCTATCTCGTTTGATGAAGGAGTTATGTCATGTTTGGAGCATTTGGAAGCTGTTCCTTGGTCTGAAGATGAAGAAGAGATTGTTGTTTCTTGTCTTGAAGAGCTTCATCTTCCTGACGATTCTGTCACTTTGATTCTTCAGAGAGTTTCATCTCAACCTACCCCTTCCTCAACGAGAACTAGAACCGATGATATCTTCTTGAAGCTTCTCACTGGTGTACTACAAGCAAAAGATGATAAAGCTCGGCGAGAGATGAAAGTTTTGATCTTTAAATTGGTTAGAGAAGAAGCTGATTATGATGTCTCTAAAGACACACTCTATGGTTTGTGCCATCGATGTCTCACGTCTCTTGTGCTTTGCTTATCTGAAGTGACCACACAGATGAATGATCCGGGGATAGACCGTGGTGCTCTGATGGGAGAAATCGCCAGAGAAGCTGATAACATGCTGTGGATGGTAGATATATTGATTGAGAAGAAACTGTGCGGTGAGTTTGTGAAACTATGGGCGGATCAAAAGGAGCTAGCGAATCTTCATTCCAAGATCCCGACGATGTACAGACACGAAATAAGCAAGATCACCGCGCAGATATGTGTTGGTATTGGTAAAGGAAGGATCTTGGTGAATCGGGAGACTAGGTTTGCGGTTCTGAATACATGGTTAGAGGCTTTGTATGATGATTTCGGGTGGATGAGACGGTTATCCTCAAGATCTCTGGATAGGAAACTGGTGGAGGATGGACTCAGCCAGACCATATTGACCTTGTCGTTGAGACAACAGCAGGTGATTCTAATGAAATGGTTTGATCGATTTCTGACCAAAGGCGATGATTGTCCAAATGTTCAGCGAGCATTTGAGGTGTGGTGGAGAAGAGCTTTCATAAGACAGGTCTTGACAGAGCCAGATGCGCCGCAGCTGCAGATTACACTCTATGACTAACTCAAAATAGAATAAGATTGTTACCCTCAAAATGTCAAATCTTTGTTTTCTTTCCTTTGATAAACTGTTACTAATCAATTTCAATGGGATACCAAGATTCAAAAGAAAGTGGCTCAAAGATATATATCGTCTAAAACAATGATCAGAACAGAAAGAAGAAAATAAACTCGGGGCAAACAATCTTTCCCCTTTGTAGACCAAAAAGAAAATCCGAGTTTGAATCTAAAGTATGCTGCAGAATCCTATACGGGGCTATCGAAATTGGTAGATTGTCACTCGGCCTTTGCTTAGCCGTTAGTATGCATATTGGGAGGTGGAATTAGAATCCAAGAATTGGTTTCATCTGCACTGATCTTGCGTTGCTTGTCATCTCTATATATTCGGCATGTGAACTGCTATGAAACTTTGTTTCTGTCTTTTCAAGAGATGATTGGATCAGCTCCATATTTCAACTTGGGCAGATCATCGGTCCTGTAGATCAAGATTAATCGCAGAGTTAGTTTACAAACGAGATTCATATGGCAATGGCACCAATTGAACTAAAATGGTATTTGGTATCGGAATCTCTGAATACAATGAAAGGATAAGTATTAAGCTTAAGCATATGTTTAACGTTTCCATTTTTTTCTATATAAAAAAGGGCTCTTGAAACAAGATGAGATGTCGCATAAGTCTATCAGAGAACTCGAGTAATGTCATAAGCAAAAGTCACAACCTCAACCCTAAAAAACAGAGAGGAATGAAATCTGACCTTTGGAGAACTTTGAGTATTCCGGTTCCGAGCTTCATTGGTATGCCCATAATCACACATTCTGTAACTCCCTCTATGTTATCAACCTTTCCGCTAATAGCTGCACTAAATAAATGATCTCCAGTCCTCTCAAAAGATGCCTGCATCAGCACACTTTTGTCCATCTTCTGAATCCCAGTTCTTTGTATCCCGAGAACCTCCCCCTGATCAAGAAATTGACGTGACATTTAATCATTAACATGACTGTATTGGAAAAATATTATAAAAAGAGATCATAATAACAGATTCAAGTGTCCTTAGAACTGACCCTGTAAGTCATGACATCAGCCAAAAGCATCATGTGACGGATGTCTATACTCATACCATGGTTTCCCATAACTGTCCCTATTTCATCAATAATTGTTGTCCTTGCAGCCTCGATTCCAAGTGTTTTGCTCACTTCGACAACATTATTACTTGTAGTAGTTCTCCCATTGATTCCCGGTGTCCCCATAACAGCCAGGAGGTTTGTGCTGAAACATATATCAAGCAAAATATTCAAAATCTAAGATATCATGCACAATTTTGTCGATGACTATCCTTCGAAGTTCTGAGTCGGTTATTCATAAGAGTTTCAAACTGGACATGTATTTGTTTCTAGAAAGCGTTTTGTTTATTTCAAAAGTTTGGTTTAAGCACGTGAAATACTGACAATTCATATCAGTGGCTTACCAGAAACAGAAACAGAAACAAAGACTGCTTAATAAACTAAATCAAGGATTCACCAAAACAAACCATGCCCAACGAGGACATGAATTATCAGCTAAGCTAGCACTTATAGGAAGGACAAAAGACAGAGGAAAATCTCATCTCTTGAAGCTCGAGAAAACTTACCCCTCCACAAACAGTTTCCACCTTGTCTTCCCATCTATCTGTTTATTTTTATCCATATCCTCTGCGACAACAACTCGCTCAACTGTTTTGATCCCCTATCATAACAATTCAACAGAATGAATTCTCTCGGTCGGTGAAAGAGAGATTGTACTCAAAGAAAGAAATTAGGAAAAAATCGTAAAAACAATGTATATATATGTAAGAGAGAGGTTTAACGAATATCACATTCACTATGATATTTGGCAGCACATTCTTCAGATTGTGGAGATTGAAATGAGTCCTACTTTTATCCACCACAGGAGTAATATCCAATCCCGTATCTAAAACCCTAATATCCTGCAAAATTTACATTGCAAAGAGACTTAAGATCTGAGTGCACCACAATGAATACAGCAATAACAACTAAGGACCTTACATTATCGTTCAGTTTGATTCTGGGGGTCTTTAGGATGGAATTTTTTACCGACCAGGGGCTTATAGACAAACATGCCTCCTCGATTATTTTATTGTCAAGAATTATTCTCACTGACGCTGATGTTGAAGTCATTAGCACCTCGATGCTCTCAGCAACCTGGTCCATAATTCAAGTGGATTTTGACAACATGATTGGTAAAAACAGTGATAAACAAAAAGAGTATCTAACAAGAAGGTGCTGAACCAACGATCCAATAGTTGATATTTCTAAAATGCCATCGCAATATGGACTTAAAACAAGCAGCGGCGACCATCAAATACTGGATATGTAAAAGAATTCAGATCAAATTGTAGAGGGAAAGAGAACCTGTCCTAAAGTAGTTTTTTCAATGCGTCCTTTCACCCATCGTGCACTAGTCAATTCCAGGGGGTTCTCAAGTTCTGCAGAGATGACAGGTGTGCTTATATTTTTAGAAGCATTGATAATTTCATTGATTCGGGGGACTCCTTGTGTGATATCTGAACCAGAATTAAGAAATCAAAACAACTAGTACTCATATGTAAAAGCACTAGTTTTATAGCGAAATTCAGAAAATAAGCATTTTCAGCAAGGATACTCATGCTCGCCACTCCAGCAAAGTGAAAAGTTTTCAGAGTCATTTGTGTCCCAGGTTCTCCAATACTCTGAGCTCCTATTGTCCCAATTGCAGTCCCAGCCTCAATTTTTTTTTCCCGATAGCGAGATACACAAATTTTTACAAATACCTGCATATTTATATATATCAGACGTAAGATCTCAAATTATAGAAATATCCACGGGAGAGAATAGGTGTGATAATTTCTCGTTAATTAGATGTAGCTAACAGTATATATGATCAAGGACCGGCACAAAACTGAGATGCAAAATGCACCGAGTATTTTTCTTCTCCAAAAAAGGAAGACAAAGAGAATCACCTCGAGTTGCTTATCAGTCACACCAGATGCTTTATATAAAACCTGAGGCGTGCTTGCAGACTTTACTCCGAGCAAGGAAACAAATTCTCGAAGAGATTTCACAAAGGCGTCAGTGCAAACCCGACTTTTATCATGTCTGACTAATTCCTCTTCAAACTTTTGCGACAACTCTTCTGAGGAAAGATAATTGTGGTGAGATCGAGGAGGACATGTGGCCTACAAAATGTACGTACCGATTGTGACAAAACTCTAAATAAAGAGAGACCAAAACCAATATACAAAAATCCAAAAAGCACCTGAATTTTCAGAAATAATCTATCAAAATTTAAAGGAGCTCCATCCTTTCCTTCCATTAGTGCTGGGTCCATTCCATCATCCCCATAAGTAAATTGAAGTATACATCCGCTGGCATTTCGCACTGTGTTATCATAATGGACTAATAGATCCTCCAAAGCTTTCATCAGTCTACGAGACATGTAACCTGTACTTGCAGTTTTCACCTGCAATAGACAAGAAAATCGTTACAAGTTACAACAAGGTGAAGACCATCTTCGGTCCAGGTGTTAAAACACTGTCACGGTGTCACCCTTCAGAGAACCATCATGGCTGTCTCTTTCTATGAACAACTTTTTCATATTTTGCCAGGATGGAAAAAAGAAAAGGATTTATGCATACCGCTGTATCAACTAGACCTTCTCGTCCACCCATAGTGTGAAAGAAAAATTCTGTGGCAGTAAGACCACTGTAGAACGAATTAGCAACAAAACCTTTAGCCTGCGATGGCAAGAAGACATAAGATCAGGGTCCTAGCTCTCAAAGTAGTAACCGGAAGTTAGTGTAATCAGGCTCCCATAGGGTGATGCCCAAGAAGCCTACTACAAATTATTCAGTGGTGAGTAAATGTCTACTTGTTCAGGACACCTCCAATAAATAGCTTAAGAAATTTTCCAAAACATTTCTGATAATTAGGAGCGCTACCAGCATCCATTATGTTAAAGATTGCTCAGAGGGGTTAAAATACAGGGTAGTAACTGCAACGCAAGAGAGATGGAAATAGCACAAAAACTTACTGCAGGTGATTTGGACATCCTAGGGAAATGAGGAAGACTTCGATCTATAAATCCATCAGGAGCACGGTGACCATTAACTGTCTGCTGACCAACACATGCGACCATCTGACTGATATTGATAGGAGATCCTTTGGAACCACATTGTGACATGATCAAGGGACTATTTCTCCAATGTAATCCGCTCATACATGCCTGTATATCAAAAATAAAATGACGAGATGAAGCATTAGTATTTTGGTAGGTAACCAGGATCTGGATTCATTTTCATTTGAATACAGTAGATAAACTATCAGAGATATTCCTTCAATATAGATTTTTTTACTCCTTACTCATCTTGGAAAAATATATCACTCACCTTTGAAACAAGATACTAATGGAACTAGAACGCAAAAAAAAAAAGAATTGATTGCAAATCAAAGTGTCACGTTAGCCCATACACGTATCTTAGTAAATTAAATCACATATGTACCTTAGAACATGAATTTACTAACTGAAAATAGAAGCTACGTATTTACCTTCCCAGTGGCCTCTCGAATTGTATTGAGAATCCCTGTTATTTCAGCTTCTAATGATTTTGCACCATCTAGACCAGCTTTAAGTTGCAAATTTCCTCGATTAAATTCTTCAATTTTGCGATGGCACTGGTCATATCCGAACTGGATGCTATCTTTTCTTTCCTTATTCAACTCTTCACCAGGTTGTACGTCATCAATTCCAATGGAGAAGCCATGGATTCCAATCCACCGAGCACTGCACAAAACAAGAGAAAAAGCTACCAGTTAGACAAGAAAACTATGCATTTACTCGATGCAGCAATGGCAGATAGCAGAGAAAGGTCATAGAAAACACAGCACATACAAAGCAAGAACCGAGAACATTTGAAAATATTATAGAGATGAAGCAGAAAAGCGAAAGGGCAAGACAAAGATGGATAATAAAGATTGAAATGTTGCTGCGAGATCAAGGAAAAATTAGTCTGAAGAGATAAGACAATCCCATATGCAGAAAAATGAACTCACCTCAATTT